GAAACATTTTCTTCTGATCTTCCTTTAACTATTCCAGTGCTAGTCCTGAGGTTAAGAATAAACAACATGTTAGGAATAATATTCAGTTTACCTTTTGCTCAATTTTATTTATTCTACACACTGCCTTTATGACCTGCTTCTGCTCTGGGTTCCCTCCAACACAGCCTTTTTGTGTACAGTACAATGTGAAGATTTACCAGAAAGTGGAAGTGTTTATACTTTTAAGAATCATTTTTAAAATCACCACCTTTGTAAGCATCCCTTGTCATGTGTAACTCTGATTTAGCATGAGGAATAGCACATATGGGTAATCGGACTAGCTGCTGGGATTCAAGCAGAATCAAGTTCAGTCATTGCTAATTATGATCCAGAAATAATGGACTTAAAAAGGCAGACTTTTGAATTTAGACAGTATGAAGCTTGGTCACATTTATGCTGTTCAATTGCTAAATGTCTTTACCAAAATGAGGTGGCTTTAAGGGCACCTGGTCCACAGGTTTCTGAAGCAGTAATGGCAGGGCAACGAAGAGTCCAAGTTATTTGATACTTTGTGCATTTGCGGCTGATGTATTCTTAGTGACGCCGGACGGCATCTCAGAGCGCTTTACAGTAATGGATCCCGGGGCCGAGCCAGGGGTAGCGGGAGGAAGATGACCAAAGGCGCGGTCGAAAACAAAGGTCTTCAGCCGAGACCTGAAAATAGGAAGAGCGGGCGAGGCGAAGGGATGGAGGAAGGGAGTTCCAGAGCCTCGGGGCGTAGTGGCTGGGATAAGCACTCCGGGACCCTACCCCGCATAAAGGGGTTATATAAATGCAAGTTGTTGATGTTGATGTAAGGTCACACCTAAAACATAAATCCGTTTTTCTTTTTTATTAACTGCTGTTAGTTTTCAGGTTATTTTTCAGATTAGTAGCTAACAATGAAGATTGCAACGACTTCAGATGGACCCAGGCAGACTAGAAGATTGGGCAGAGAGGTGGATTTGAAATTTAATGCAGAAAAGTGTGAAGTTAAAAATCTGAGGAGGAAGAATAGAGTAAATGTATGAGCAGAGTAGAAAACCTTGGGGTTAACATACATAAATCATTAAAGGTGGCAGGTGGACAAAGCTGTGATCCTAGCATTGTCAAAGTTATTGGGATCGTAGGTTTTATAAGTAGGAGCATGGAAATAAAACTGAACAGGTGATGTTTAACTGGTATAAATCATAAGTTAGATCGGAGGGGAGGGCAATCTTTTCGCTGCTGAGGGCTGGATTCTCTATTGGAGAAAGGACTCCGGCTGCAGAAGCAATATTTTGCGTTTCCCTTCCAGAAACATAACAACATTGATACAGCACCTTTTGCATGTTGGATGGACATCTTGACACTGTCAGCTGGGCACCTGAGCTGGGGTGGGAGCCGAGGGATGGGATGTGGATGGGAAAAGATTTCCAAAAGCGTGGTCGAAGAGTTAGGTTGTGACGTTCCTTGAAAGAGGGGAGGGAAGGAGCGAGTCGGAGGGATTCCAGGAATGGAGCTCCAGAGAGCGGCGGCAAAATGGCAATGGTGGGGCAGATGCAGTGGGGGAAAAGCATGAAGAAAAATGGTGTTTGCTGGGCGAAGGAAATGGCTGGGTCTCAGAGGTAGGGAGGAGGTGGAATGAAAGTCATATAGACGTTTCTTACTGGGGAAAGAGGGTTTTCTGTGAGCAAACTACACGTCACGTCGCTCAGTGTCTGTCCTTGATCCTCCCTCAGCGGCTGAGGGAGGCTCCGATCATCTGACCTGACAGTGAACCACAAAACTTATCCCTCCCTCTCTCTCTGCTTTCACTCTTTTTGTTTTTCTCGCTCCCCCTCGTGCTCTCTCTACCCTCTCTCTCACGCACTCTCACACACGCGCTACTTCTCTCACACATTCTCTCTCACTCCCCTTCTCACACCCTCTCTTCCCTCTCACCTCCCCCTCAATCACTCTTCCCCCTCCTCCTCTCTCACATTCTTCCCTCTCAATTATTCTCTCCCTCTCTCCCACACTCTCTTTCTATCCCCTCAAACTCTCTCTAAATCACCCTCTCTCAATCTCCCTCTTTCTGTTTCTCTCTCTCCCTGTCTCCCTCACATTCACACTCTCCCCCTTTCCGCTCTCTCCCTCAATCACTCTCTCTCTACCCCCTCTCATACACATACTCTTCCCTCTCCCTTCCTCCTCTCTCCCAATCAGCTGCACGGCATTCACTATCTGCATAGGAGGATGTTCACCAAGGAGGGAGCAGAAGTTGCAATGTTGGAAATGTTCTCAAGCGAGATACAATAACCCAGCGGGCCAGATGTGGCCCACAGGCCGCCAGTTAGATCATCCTGAATTAGATCATATTGTGTCATTTTGGTCACTGCACTTTAGGATGGACGTCAAGACCGTAGAGATATTTATGAGGATCATACCAGAGAGGAGTGATTTGACTTATGGGCAAAGACTAAAGGAACTGGCCATATTTTCAATGGAACAAAGAAGGTTGAAGGGTGGCCTGACAAATATCTTCAAAATTTGGAGAGGTTTTGATAGGATAGAGGGAAATTATCATAATTGGTCAGTCAGTCAGTGATGAGAGGGTATTTACGATAGAAAGGCAGCAAAGGGCAAGGTTAGGCCTTTTTTTTTAATCACTAAGTTGTTAGGAATATGGAATGTCCTGCCATGTACGGTGGTCAAGCCAGAATCCAAATTAGATTTCATGAGGAAACTAGATAGATATTTAAAAAGGGTAAATTGCAATGGGTATGCGCAGGTTGATGGGGGGGGGAAGAGAGCAGAGAAATGGGACTGAAGAAATTGCTCTTTCAAAGGGTCGACAGATAAGATGGGTCGTAAATTTCTTTGATCCTCAATCCATATTGCCCCTTTTAAAAACCTTCTAAAATCCATTCATAAAAGTGCCTTTGGTCACCTTTAAACTCCTCCCACGTCTTGCCTGGTGTCCAAAACACCCACGTTGAGATCTCCTTTATGCTATAGGAATGTATTATTCACAACACAAAACACTGCAGATGCTGGAAATCTGAAACAAAACAGACCTGGGAAAACTCAGCAGGTCAGGCAGCATCTATGGAGAAAGTGAGTCAACGTTTCAGGTCCACGACCCTTCGTCCAGTTCCGACAAAGGGCCGTGGACCAAAATTGTTGACTCACTTCCAGCTCTCTCTGTTTTTGTTTCAGGAATGTATTATTGTTCTTTGCCAACTCTTTGCGATACAAAGAAAGAAACCAGTGAATTGAATCTGTGTACCCAAAAGCATTATTTATTAAGGAGTTTTAGAATATATTTCTTCATTTTAAAAAGCATAAAAATAAAACATTGATCATTTAGAAAGCCTCAAATTTGGTCCTTTTAAAAAGCCAATACAGTACAACACCTTTATAGAATGATGTGAATCAAAAAGCACTTAATCATTTTGTGGCATGAAAATTGCAGACTGCGAAACATACTGATTACCACAGAAAACCATAATATCATACAATAAATTGAAATCAAAAAGTGTTATGGCTGTAACATTGTGAAACTAAATAGTTCATTTTAAAAAACTTTACACTTGTCAAATGTATAATTGGTTTTAAAAAAAGCTGCATAATTTATTTCAAAAGCTAGTAAAATAGCCTGAGTATATTTGTTTACGCAAACTACAAAAACAAAGGACATGATAATCATTAGAAAAGAAATGAACATGACAACTAAAATTCTCTCGAGATATTCCAGAACAAGGTGCATCTTTCCATATCTGAAATTTGATCTTCATTTACCTGAAATGTGTGTTCTCAAAAGGAAACTATAAATTCTTATTTCGCCTTTAGAGACAAGAACGTAAGGTTTAGATATGGCTATACCTTCAACATGATCATTGGGCCGAACATCAATTTCAATAACTCACTCATTCTATTAAACAGATTACATAATACTGACATACTAGCAGTTCTTAAAGAGATCTAAAATGCAATATTCATGAGTTGCAAATAGAACTGTGAGAACTCCACACCAACATGTTCGTGCAAAGTTCCATTGGTTGACACATACGTCCATTCAGATTGTAGACCCCAATATCTAGTTACAGGGTTCCTTTATAAATATAGTATCAAAAACCATTATAATGGGACTTACACAGATCTGATTTTTTTGGTCAGCCGAGTGTATGAATGAGTGACCTACAAAAATTATAGGGACAGCTAAAAAAGTAGCCTATATCGCATGATAAGAATTTCCTTGCAAATCAACTATGTAAATTAACTTACTCTACTAAACTTTCCCGAAGAATTTACCCTCAAAAATGATTAGAATTATTGCATGGAATGTGGTGCGAATTTCTTTATACCACACACAAACTTCAGAATTCCTTTTACATGACATTTCTTAAGAAAACAGCTTCAGATATAACAACAACAAATTCCATTTATATTGCATTTATATATCGGGAGGTCATCCCAAGGCGCTGGACAATCAAGGGTTTGTACCTGAACTGGGGGTTGGATGCGGGAGGGGTATGGGGCCAAGCGTGTGGGGTGGAAAGATGAACAAAGATGTGATCAAAGAGGAATCAAGGCAAGGCAGAAGCCACAGAGCATTGGACATCTCTTTATGTTAAGGATCTTACTTGTCTGTACTTCTCAACTTGAATCACAGTTGTTCCCAATGCCTCTCCAGAAAATTATTCTAGAAAAATGTTTCAGAACTTTATAGAGCTAGGAAACCTAGCAAAGACAATTATTTTGGAAGCAAATAATAATCCTATTACAATAATCCTTGCTTTTGATATTGCATAGTGCATTATTGTCATCAAAACATCTTAAAAACATTCACTGGGAAGTGTCGTCACTATTTGTAGGCTGACAATTTGTGCCATAATTAGTGAATAATTAATTAATTTTATATGGATTATTGGCCAGGACATGGGGAGACACACCTTTCTGTTTTTGAATAGAGCTATGGGATCTTTAACGTCCACCTGGACAGGCAGACATGATCTCAGTTTAACATCTCATTTAAAAATGGCACCTCCAACAATATAGCCCCCCCCCCCCCCTCCGCATTGCACTAGAATGTCAACCTTAACATTGGGTTCAAAGCTCTGATGTCGGCCTTGAACCCACAACCTTGTAACTCAAAGGCACAAGTGCTACCAACTGAGCCTGGCTGGCAAGAGGTAAACTGATGAAAGGCAGATAAGGTCTAGATGGGATCCAGAAACTACGTGCAGTGTCTTGTGTGCAGAAGTGCACTTAAGCTATGCAAGGCATTCAATATTCTTGTGGTACTCTGGAAATGACAAAATACTGCATTAGTTGCAATGTTTCTGATCCCACTTGAAAAACCTTTTCTTCAAAGCACATTTTTTCAATAAAACATTCAGCGATCATTTTATATTTGGATTGAAAGGTTTCACACAAGCGGTCCTAGCGCATTGTAACTAGTTCCTCTGAAGATGTGGGATGAATTGCTACAGTGTTATCAAAGTCAGATTTTGTTGCTCCCATCTTGATTGCAATAGCAAAACCTTGAAGCATTTCATCAGATCCAAAACCCTGCATGTGAAGTCCCACAACCTGAAATGAGAGAGAAAAGGTCATAATAATCGCTCCAAAACCAAAAACAATAATAAAAAAAATTGGTCATTTTCAATCTACGACTGTTTGTGGGACATTGCTGTGCGTAATTGGCTGCCGCGTTCGCCCACAAATATACAGTCAATTCACTTTACAGTGTGTTCTGTGAAGCGCTTTGGGACGTCCTCCCGACGTGAAAAGCGCTATATCAAATGCAAGGATTATTATTATTGTATTTAAAGCACTGCACAGTTCTGTACTTAGAGAGAAATTCATATCCCCATCACTCTGGTTGATCTAACCAGGTTGTATTGTGACAAACAAGCTCCAGTAAATGTATATAGTAAGCATGTTCTGGAGTAATGAGATCAAATGGGCCAAAGGGCCTTTTTCATCCAAATGTCTCGTGAGGTGAAAATGAAAGTGGTGGAGTTTATATTCACACTTGTTCAAAAATGCAGCCTTACAAGTTGATATTATTAAATTTGCATTACAATATCTGTATCTATAGGTAATTGAATTGTCATGGATAGGGATTCCGGCTGTCATTGGGAAAATAACCATTCTTCAACACAAACAATCTCCTGACGCTGTTCAGTAATAACCCTGGCAAGTCACACTAAAAAAAATCAATAGGTTGATGTCTCTCTCTGAAAGAAAGACAAGGAGGATATTGGTCCCGCAATTCCCACTCCCTAGAATCATAGGGAGTCCACTTGGTCCATCGTGTTTGTGGTGGCTCTTTTAAAAAGCAATCCTTTCAGTCCTATTTATCCGCCCTTTCCCCATCCCTTTGTAATTCATTCCTTATAGAACCACAGAACTTTAGAACTCCTGTTCTTATTATATAAGAGAATCTTTAACCCATGAAAGTCAGCGTACTAGCCCGAATATCATATACAGCTCGTTTTTACTAGTGTGTGTTAGTTAGGTGTCTATTTGCACTATATCTTTAGATTGCTATCAATAGGTTTTCACACTCTTTTTTGTTTTCCTTTGTAGATTCCTGTAGTCTGAGAGGCTTTAACACTTAAAAATGTTATGAAACAACCAAGCTGTGGTTTATTGTCACCATTTTACTCCCATCGTGTCATTGCTTGTGGTTTTGGACGTGATTTGTTGGGACTCTTATTTACAATTTACAATAAGCCCCTCAGCCTAACCCTCTTGTAAGCATGATATGAACACATACACTTTTTTGGCTTGAAATCTCTTTCTACACTCGCACACTGGGACAACCTCCAGCATTGACTGAATTAACTGACTGTGGAGCTTAAATTACATCAAAGCCTTTCAAAAACAATTTGAAGGCATGCTGAGAAACAAAAGCTATGGCTACAAGTGGAACTTGTTGAGGAACTCAACAAGCTATCCCGAAAAGACAACAAAGAAAAACACTGTTATTGAGAGGAAACAATGAGCATTCGTCTATGGGTGTGATGGAATGTGTAACAAGGAAGAATTACGTTTACCTATCACCTAAATCCTTTTGTATTTGACAAATGAAACTAATGAACATTAAATGAAGGTTTTTTTATTACAGCTGCAATTTAACTCAATTGTTATGCTATGATTTGTTGAAAAGATTGAAAATATTGATTACAATCACATCAATTTATATCGCTACTTTCGGGTCCATATTGGATTAGGAGCCTGAATTTAGGAGGGGGCAGTGTCTGAAGAGATATATCAAGGTGGGGTTTGAAAATGGGGAGGGAAGGGAAAGGTGGAGGGACTCTGGGACGTTGTTCCAGAGAATGGCGGCAGAATGGCTGAAAGCTGAGATTGGGCAGTAAACATGGAACAGGCTGTTTGCTGAGCTGCAAAGGCAGTAGGGTCGCAGCTGGAGACAGAGATAGAGTGGGGCAACCCCATGGAGACGTAGGAAAATGAGACAAGGAATTTGGATTCCATCTACTGGGGGATGGGAAACTAGTGGAGGAAAATGTACATAAGTTATTCAAACTATTTCCTACCTTCTCTTCTTTCTCAGCACAAACCAACTTCATGACACACTTTGTTTTCCTCGAAGTGACTGCATGATACATTGGGGTAAAAGAGGTTGTGTAGATCTTCAGACGTTCCCTGCCATACTTAGTCACTGCTTCCTCTGGAATGCAAGTAATTAGATCAGTCTCAATTCTGCTCCACTCAATACTTCAATCACAAATAGGTATTTTCTCACCTGTAAATAAATATTGTTTAAACCAGTCACAAACCAAGCTATGAACAGCCTGTTTGGGATGTACAGTAAACTATGATCTACAAAACAGCACACCACAAATCCAAACTCCAAATAGTCTTAATTTAACAAAGTTAACATAAATAGTTACATCCATGTAAATAAATTTAAAAGAATTTATTCATATGTAGCCAGAAATATCATAAGAAATTTGACTCATAAATGTGTACTAGAATCATAAATGAAAAAATATTTTGCTTTTCTTAGGATTTAAGAGATTGCCACTTTGTGCCAGAAGAATTCTATCACTATCATCTGCGATCTCAGGAAGAAATTTTACAATCCACTGGAATTGGTCATTCGTTTCACAGCTGTTTGTGGGACTTTGCTGTGCTTAAATCAGCCGCCTTGTTCACCCACAAAATACACAGTAACTCTACAGTACATTCTGTGAAGTGCTTTGAGACATCTTGATGATGCAATAAGGCACGATATTAAATACATTTATTTATCATCATTATTCATCTTTATCCTCTTCTTTAAAAATATCAATGGCATTTGCTAATTTTGAATCCTTTAGTTTTTGCCCAGCCAGGTGTCTGACACATGCAGAAATCCATCAAGTATCCATACCAAACTGGAGCTCTATACATGGAAATGTCTGGAATGGAATGTGTATTCTCTCCCTGGAGGGACCTGCTTACCTATTTCCGGAGAGTATTAGATACAACCAAGGCTTGAGGAGCCCCGAGTATGTTTTGGGGTAATGCTGGAGACTAACCAGCTGCTCGTCCAGCTGCAAAACTCCCACCTGTTGGTTGCTGTTAACCTTGCCAGCTCGATTGTGACATTCTGTTGCCAAGCATGTCACCTTCGAACCAGTTCAGCTCCAAGGAGATCCTGCTTACCTCCATCCCAGCCCCCACCCCACAAATAATAGTAGTCCTCAATTTGACATCCATCAAGTGCAAGTTTGAACCTTTATTGAATGTGTGACAGTCTTGAATCCTCTGAGATTTGCCCCGTTTCTATGACCTTTGAAAATTTTCTGCGAGAGGCCTTCAAATCACCTGAGCCTTGATAGTTTGGAAGCACAGACCTTATCTACACTGAAACCCTACAACCACCTCAAAAATATTTTCTTTTGATGATAAGTCAGTGTAACAATACCCCTTAGCTATTGGTATTTGTGTGTCAGCCTGGCTCAATTGGTAGCACTCTCGCCTCGAGTCGGAAGCTTGTGGGTTCAAGTCCCATGTCACGAGGTGGGACTAACATAGACTAATTGAAGATGAATACTCCAGTGCTGGGGGTGTGCTGCATTATTGGAAGTGGAGTCCTGTAGCTCAGTGGTTAGAGCACTCGCTTTGCAAGTGAGAGACCTGAGTTCAATTCCAGGCAGAGGGCGAAACCTTGGGCAAGTTTCCTTACTCCACACAGAGCCTAATAATAATCCCTCCAAAACAAAAAAAAACAATAATAAATTGGTCATTTTCAATCTACGACTGTTTGTGGGACATTGCTGTGCGCAATTGGCTGCCGCGTTCGCCCACAAATATACAGTCAATTCACTTTACAGTATATTCTGTGAAGCGCTTTGGGACGTCCTCCCGACGTGAAAAGCGCTATATCAAATGCAAGGATTATTATTATTATTATTATTATTATTAAGTGCCATCCTTCAGATGAGGACATGGACCCTATCAGCATGTTCAGGTGGACTTCAGTGACCCCACAGCATTATTCAAAGAGAAGGAAGTTTCTCCCAGTGTCCTGGCCAACAAATCCCCTAAATAAAATTGGTCACTCGATCCATGGCTGTTTGTGAGATATTGCAGTGCGCAAATTGGCTGCCCCATTTGCCCACAAACACGCAGTCATTTTACAGTATATCCTGTGAAGAGCTTTGGGATATCCCCCTGATGCGAATGCCGCTACACCAAACGTAATGATTATTATTTTATTATTATGTGAGTATTAAGATATTAAGGACTTATAATGCTTATTGGAAATATTTTAAATGATTAAAGTTTTCTTACAAACATTCAGACAAAAAATTAAAGTTTGTACCTTCTGTGAGTCCTACAGTGCCAATGGGTGGGTGACTGAATACCACTGTAGGGATGTTGCTATAATCCATCTTGGAGTCTTCCTTCCCCTCAAACAACCTGTGCGCTAATTTCCTACCAGCAGCTATAGCAACTGGAATAAAAAAATAAAAAGATCGGTACAATGCCAGGGGCTCAAAACAGTCAGAAAGAAATGCCACAAAGGAAACCAACAGCTGGTAGTTATGTGGAAAGATGTTGAAACCGCCCCCACCCTAAACACATACCCACCCCACACTAAAGAGATTGCCTCAGACACTATGAATAAGTAGAGACCAATAGTTAATTGAGGTGGGATTTTTCATACCAATGGTAACTGCATTACTCAACATCATCGGACACCATGGAAGAAAATCTTACGTTAACATGACATAACATGACCAACAATGAGTTTATTTGCCAGAACTTCCACAGTACGAACAGACAGGCAAGGAGAGCACTTCCAAGTGTAGAAATAAGCATGCAAAGAGGAAGCTCAGTGTACAGAACTGTTACCTGGTGTAAGCAAAGCCTTTCCACACACATCGCCTACTGCGTAGATGCCCTTTTTGCTGGTGTTCTGAAATTCATCCACAACTACGTGACCCTTTGGATCTAGTTTCAATCCCTAAGATAACAACACACAATTTAATAGTTATCTACTTTAAAGCCACAATTGAATATAATGAGAGATAACAAGGTCGAGGGGGTGGCCACAGTTGTGGGTTGGTGAGTTTATATGGATAGTGAGGTTTTCTATGGAGTGAGGTCAAAGGAGATGGGGCAAGAAGAGTTTACGTTGAAATCACCCATTATAACCAGGGGTTCAGTGTAGAGGAGGGAGGAGATGTCAGGGATGAAGGAACCAGGTGGTTCTGGAGGACGATAAATAAGGAGGATTTTGAAGGAGAGGGAGGGATGGTACAGGCTTAAATGTTCAAAGGAGGGTAAGGAGCCGGAGGAATAGGGGGAATAGAGCAAGGAAGTTTGAGAGATGAGGGCCATCCCACCACCACGTTGGTTTGGGCAGCAGGGGTGGGGGGGTGAAAGATGTAACTGGGGCAGGGGGAAGGTTTCAATCAGGGAGACAGGGTCAACGGGGAACAGGTTTCTATGAGCCCAAGAGTATCGATGTGCTCGTCCAGGATGAGGTCATGGATCGTGAAGGCTTTATTGGAGAGGGAGCAGATGTTTTGGAGGGAAATGCGAGTGGGTTAGCTGATGGAGGAGGGCTTGTGAGGGAAGGTAAGTTGGGATTTAGGCTGTGGGGGAGAAATAACCTTATGGGGGGGGGGAGTTGGGAAGGGTAACAATGTGAATGGGGGAGGTAGCTGTGTCGGGGAGAGCGGGTGATGGGGCAGCTGCTTTGGGACAATTATTGCCGACAGCCATGATGGGCCTAACGGAGGATGCCCAGGCTGGAACAGAGGGAATAATGGGGTCCAGGAGAGAGAAAGAAAAGGCGAGAAGGGCGGTGGGAGGGAAGAACTGATTGGCAGTAGCAGAGTGGTGAGTAGCTGTAATAGTAGCTGTTAGAAGTAAACCTGACACCCTATGCCACTTCAGCCTTACCCTGACTTTACATGAAGACAACAAATGTGCAGTTTTCCAGGAGTTTAGAATTAGATTCTCACCAGTTGGCTCAGGTTCAGTCCATCCGTATTAGGACTACGTCCAATTGCCCACAATAGACAATCAACATCTTTGAGTACAGATGTTGTAGCAGTTTGATCTGATTCTCCAGTCACGATCGTCACTTCTAAACTGCCACCACTTTTCTTTAAGGATTTAACCTGACATTAGGTATTTAAAAAAGGTCAAAAAAGTAATTGCACAATTCAAACCTCCTTTTAAAATAATTTTTTTTTTACAAAAATAGGTGTTTAGTTACCTGAGTATGCTTCAGAATTTTAACACCAGCACTTTCCAATTCTTGCGTACAATTTAAACTTATCATTGAATCAAAAGTTCTCAGGACCTAAGGGCATTGAAAAGAAATTCTGTAATAGAAACATAGGAATCCAGGAACATAGAAACAGGAGCGGGCCATTCAGTCCCTTGAGCCTGTTCCACCATTATATAAGATCTTGGTTGACCAGTACATCAACTCCAATTACCCACCCTTTGTCCCATATCCCTTGATACTCTGCCTAACAAATGTCTATCCACCTCAGTCTTGAAAATGTGAATGGATCCAGCACCCACAGCCTTTTGGGGGAGAGAGTTCCAGATTTCCACTACCTTTTAGGTGCAAACCTACCTCCTGATTTCACTCCTAAATGGCCGAGCTCTAATTTTAAGATGATGCCTCTTGTTCTGGTTCTCCCACCAGAGGAAATAATTCTTCTGTATCTACCCCATCGAATCCCTTTATTATTTTAAAAGCCTCAACCAGATCAGCTTTCAACTGTCTAAACTCAAGGGAATAGAGACCAAGTTTATGCAACCAGTCCTCATAATTTAACTCTTTAAGCCCTGGTATCATTCTGATGAAACTGCATTGCACCCCCTCCAGAGCCAATATATTCTTCCTGAGGTGTGGTACCCAAAACTGAATGCAGTACTCCAGATAGAGTCTGACCAGGGTCTGACCAATGCTTACACCACAAGTTTCTAAAAATAATAAATGTCTACAGTCAGTTTGGAGTCTAAACATAGGATACAGAAACATTGTTATGTCTTAAATGAGTCAGAGTGGGAAGAATCCCTGCTCCCAATCCTCTGCCCCTCCAAGTCCTGTTGGTGAGCCAGGCTGGCTGGTCTGCAGTTCTGGCTCAGGAACCGGATTATGAGAAGAAAGTTAAATGTCATCAACCATTCAATTGAAATTGACAAGGAAGGTACTGTAAATACAAGCACAACAGTGGCAATGGTTGCAGAATCTTTATAACATTAATGGTGTTTACCTTTTCATGCCGTATGAGCAGATGAGCATTTGATCCAAGTGCAGAGAGGATACCTGCTATCTCCACAGCTATGTAACCAGCTCCTACGATTACACTTTTTCTAAAGGGAAAGCAAATTACACTTTTTTTACACAGCAAAAAGTACTGAATTCTAAAAATCGCTTTAAGAAGTCACGCTAGGTCTTTCAGATGCTAGTAATGTGCTTTTCCTTAGTAAAGAATAGAGATAAAGTAAGTTCAAACAGGATAATTTTCTGTCTCTCTGACTTTCTCTCTATTTTTCTCTCTGTTTCTCAATCTATTTTCCATCACTTTCAGTGTTTAACCTACTCTGCACTTTTGAATGTAAACCCCACATTAACTCTACTCTATACTTTTCATATTCTGTACTTTAAACGTATTCCAAATTCCTATTCTCTCAGTTGCATCCTCAGCTAAATCTTGTGTGCGTATCTAATTGTTTTTTCACCATCTTTGTGGCTCCATTTCACTTCCATAACAGAGCAAAATGCAAATTGTGTAACAGTTGGTGTGTGAATATGTTGTATTCACAGAATATACTGTAATGTGAAATGACTGTATGTTTGTGGGTGAAACATGGCAGAAATGATGTAAGAATTATATTAAGAAAACTGCAATGTGTTGGAAATCCCAAAGTAGCAATAATCTTGCAAAATTCTAGCAATAGTAACAGCAGATTTAGAAACATTAAATAAATCTAGATATAATTGTTCATATGGCCACCTTCCCTAAAATATATGCTGCCCATCTCAGAAAATATTATGAATTACGATGCAACACTGAGTAAAACATCAGCTCTAACTAGATGGCCTGAGTTTCAAGACCAGACACACACTTAAGCCATATTTAAGTATATTCTGTGAAACACTTTGAGTAGTCTCAAAGACGTAATAAGGCGCAATGTAAGGATTATTATTGTGATTATTAACCTGCAATAAGTTACTGGAGGACCAAGAACTATTGCTAGGATTAAAGGATGATTGTTAATTGGAACCAGCATCAGTTTTGTATAAATTGATGAATGGGAATCTCTTGTGTGCATTATATGCACAGCTAAACTACTCAATACACCAAAATTAACTTCAAATGTTGTCCTCTTTTGAATTTTGTGCAATTTTATACTGATGTACTTTTCATCAGTTTCAAATGGTTTTTTTTAAAAAAATCTACATTCAACTATGAGCTCAGACTCAAAGAAATAATTACTAAGGATAACTTGCCCTGTTTTCAAGAATCCCATCACAGTTAAACAGCTATCCAATGATCAGTTTACCTAGGCAGCTCTTCAAGCTCAAAAAATCCATCACTTGAGATACCAAGACTAGCTCCTGAAAAAGATAGTAAATGAATGTCAAATAAACATTAAGATTACTAAATTTATCAGGACTTAAGAAAATCATGGGAAAATGTCATTGCATACGCCTCTTTTGAATTACAAGGTCTTCCAGACACCAAACATAACTTTAATAATAATTCTTACATTTGATTTACATATTATAGCACCGGTCACGTCAGGAGGATATGGAAAAGTGTTTCACAGGATTTACTGTAAAGTGGAGTGACTGTGTTGTTTGTAGATAAACACAGCAGCCAATTTGCACACAGCAATGTCCCACAAACAGCCATGAAGTGAATGACCAATTTTAGTTAAGGGATTATTATAAACTGCTTTCTATTTTTCGAAAAGTACCATGAGGTCTTTAACATTCACAACAACAACCTGTCTACCTATCTACCTATTTATTTATTTTGGTCAGCCAGGTGTCTGACAAATGCAGAAACCCATCACCCAGAGTATCCAAACCAAACTGAGATTTCCATACATTGTACCTATAGATGGTAATCCCACAGATAGATTGTTGGAATGGAAGGTGCCCGCTCTCCCTGGAGGGATGCATCCTGCTTACCTATTAAGCAGGTTGGCAAGAGCCAAGATTTAGGGACACCAGAGTTGGGGTAACTGCTGGAGCCTAACCAGCTAAAATGGCATAGTTTGCCATTGATATCGCTGTCTAGCAAGCTTTCCTGTTGCTTGTCCAGTTAAAACCACCTTACCCATTATGGCTTTGGCATGCAGGGTTAACAGGAGCTAAGTGGGATGACTCTGCCCTTCTAGATCCTGCCGATGAGCCAGGCTGGCTGTGCTGTCATCAGCAGTGCCCTGCAATACTGCAGACTTACCTGGCTCAGGAACCGGACTAGAGACCATCACAGAGCCCTGGCTCGATTCCGACATTCCATTGCCAGGTATGTCACCTTGGAGCCAGTTCAGCTCCAAGGAGACACCACTTACCTCCCCCATAATGAGGATGGTTATTTACTTTCACATAAAGTATAGTGAAGTATAGTATGTACCTGTAGGCAAACACGGCAGCCAATTTGCAGGAGCCACAAAAGCCATGAAGGAATGACAAATTTATCTGGAGGATTTATTTTTTAATTTAGTGGCTAATCTGTCTCCATGTTGCTGATCTGGCCTCCTCTTGTGGGTTGGGGTTCCACAGATGTTGCTTTATCATGCCCAAGCAGCTATTGGTCATGTGTGGCAATGAGTGTCTACCGTGTCACACCCAACCCTGACCTAGGTCCACCCAGGTGCCTTATGCACACAACGTAGAGGGTGCTATAGAGAATCCAGGAACAGAAACCCTGGTTGATTTTCCCTCCTTAATCCTGGGAAGGCCTGGGCCAATTGAGCCTCCTCATGCTGACCCAGCTGAGACCAGAAAACTCTGACCAGGAGTTGAGCTAGCAACTCCTGATCTGCAAGCTGCAGCACAATCCACCATGCTAACAGAGATGCTCCATTTGGAGGATTTTTGACCAGCAGAAATGCCATTCTGTCTTTGAACAGTGATATGGCATTTTACCATCTATCTAAATAAGCAGACAAATCTTCAAATTTAGTTCATGATGTTGTAGTACATGTAAAGCAGAAGGGAAAGTACAGAGTACCTACCAGGAATGTCTTTATCACTGGGCACTATTGGCCGACCCCCTGTTGCAATCAGAATGTGTGGAGCGGTGTATCGTTTTCCATCTACTTCCAGTGTAGGCTCAGCATCTGACGTAAAGGTAGCATGACCACGAATAGTTTCAACTTGATCCTGCAAATACAATGTTTATTGTGTACAAGCTTATTCTGGATTCCTTTAGGTAACTACAATGAGGCTCGAAGGAGGAAGGCCTTCTGTCCTTTTCCTCTCATCCTTCTAGAATATCGACCCTACATTAGCACATTGAGCAGTTTCTTAAATATTGAGTCCAGTATGATGACCTTCCTGTAACCTGTTACAGCCGTGTATCAGAAGGTATTCTTTCGGGTTTGTTTTATCTGTCTCTACACTTTAAGGCATTTTGGGATTACAAACCTTATTTAAATTGTTTTGATAGATGTCATTCAATTTGCTGACATAGGCATCTCGTTTCTCCTTTATCATTCTGCAACACAAAGGGTAAGTTTTACTTCAAAAATATTTCCTCTCCAACATGTAGCACATCCAAAGTGAACATATACTAGCATAAAGACAAAGAACCTATTATCCAAATGAATTGGGACCGGGTTCATTGTGCAAATGCAAACAGAGTGGATAATGAATGGGTCACCATCCAAAAACACAAATAAATTATCTATAGTACTAACTAAAAAATTCTTCCAGCAAGAGTTATGGGGTCATTATATGCTTTGCTCCACCGCACTCTACCAGCCCTGTTCTTTCTTTCTATCCACTTCCACCCCCATCTCCCCGGAGCCCTCACATGCCCTCCCCATAATCCTACATTGTATTGGTTAAATTGTTTAATTAATACTTTATATTAAGTTGACAGTTCATGGACTGGTAAATCATGGACCCCGGAACATCAACAGACATAATTACATAGAATTTATCAAGTGCTCGGTGGTGTTTTTCTCCTCCTGAGCCACCTGGTCTAATTCCACTCCCCGGATCAGTCCGCAAAGGGAAATTAATAATGTTTAAAGATGTATGAGTAGCAAATAATAACTTCATCAATGAAATTTCTTAAAATATATTCCTAAAACAGTGCCCATTTTGGCAGGCATCAGCATAGCTCAGTTGGTAAAATAATAATAATCCTTGCATTTGATATAGCGCTTTTCATGTCTTCTAGACGTCTCAAAGTGCTTCACAAAGCTGTGTAAAGTGAATTGACCGTATATTTGTGGGTGAAACCTGACAGCCAATTGCGCACAGCCGTGTCCCACAAACAGTCGTGAATTGAAAATGACCAATTTATTATTGTTTTGTTTTTGAGGGATTATTATTAGGCGTGTGGAGTAAGGAAACTTGCCCAAGGTTTCGCCCTGCCTGGAAGCACTCTCATCTCCAAGTCAGAAGGTCTTTCAGATGAGAATTGAATCAAGGCCCTTCAGGTGGACATTAACAATCCTATGACATTATTTGAAAAGAGAGTTTCTCCTGTTAACCTGGCCAGCAATCCCCTATATAAAATTAGTCACTCACTTCATACTGTTTGTGGGACATTGCTGTGCGCAAATTGGCTGCCACATTCATCTATAAATACAGTCACTATACTACACAGTAAAATGCCATGAAGCATTTTGAGATGTTTTAATAATGTATTGAGTCACTAGATCAAATAATAGGATTATCATAATACCCAGGTCAGCACATTGTTCCTTACATGTTGTGGCTTTTTGCTCACATATTCTTTATGGGAGTGCCCAATCTAAAAGATTATGAAAGAATGAGTTAGAAACACTTTGTTGAACCCAGATTTGTACTGAGGCATACATGTTCAAATCTGGGTTCAACAAAGCTGTTCAAACCAATTCTTTCACAAGCTTTTCATTACATACAAAATGAATCGTAGGCGTATTGGAATCATTACAACAAAGACATTGCAAATGTGAGGAAACTTTGTCAAATACACTGGACATTTTCGAATATTCTACCCTCAATTCAAACTTATTCATAGATTCATAGAATGTTACGGCACAGAAGGAGGCCATTCGGCCCATCGAGTCTGTGCCGGCTCTTTGACAGAGCAAGTCACTTTCACTAACCCCACTCACCAGCTTTCTCCCCGTAACCCTGAAACCTGTCTTCCCCAGATACCTATCCAGTTCTCTCTTAAAAGCTGTTATCGAATCGGACTTCACTGCCCTTTCGGGCAGATCATTCCAAATTCGAACAACTCGCTGAGTGAAAAAAATTCTTCTAACCTCCCCTCTGCTTCTTTTGGTAGATACCTTAAGACTGTGACCACGGGTCACAGACACATCTACCAGCGGAAACAGCTTTTCCTTATCTAGCCTGTCGAAACCTTTCATGATCTTGACGACTTGAAGAGGTTACACAATCATTTGTTAATTTTCAACTTTGTAAACAAGCTATTGACACTTGTACAGTAGTATGCACAAGTTGCTATTATTTAACTGACACGCATTTAGCTACAAAGAGAGAAGATTCACCATGAGGTGCAAGTTGTATTCCTTTAAATACATGAAAACAGTTCCTGGGGATTGTGTGTTTAATATGCGTCATTATATTGCTAATCAAAAAACATGCATCAATTGAGTATACCCATTTTGTTGGATTATTCAGACAAGTGTTACTTTAGATGACTATTTCAACTGAATATTCAAAAAACCTGACTCAAGAATTTTTTTTTACTATGTGACATGTTTAAAACCATGCACACATCTCTGTAAGCAAAAAGTCAGCAGGAATTATCTGAGACACATGCTTTCTCCTAAAGCTGAGCTTACTGTAAGCCACACCAAGACCCTTCATAGAATCATAGAATTATACAGCAGAGAAGGAGGCCATTTGGCCCATCGTGTCTGTGCCAGCTCTTTGAAAAGAGCTATCGAATTAAATCACACTCCCCCGCTTTCTCCCCATAGCCCTGCAAACTTGTCCTCCCCAAATATCTATCTACTCTCTTAAACGTTGTTTATCGAATCTGTTTCCTGAGCCAAATATGGCTCATGACTCTATGTTTCTACAAGACTGGATTAGAACACAACTTCATCTAACCCAGAGCAAAATGAAAAGCTTGATGGTGGGCTCAACTCAAGAAGCAAAATGGCTTGTTGATTCCTGAATGCTCGCAGTTTGTGATAAAGTTTTCTTCAGTAGTACACTAAATCTGCATTCATCTGTGAGTGACCACTTATCTACAATCACATCAAATAGCATCGCCACAATAGATATTCAATACACTACCAGCAGAATGACATTCTTCACAGATACTACCATTGTAATAAGAACATCTAGTTAGTTACAGTGGGAACACTCAGCAGGTCTGGCAGCATCTATGGAGAAAGGAAAGTGAGTCAAGGTTTCGGGATCACGAGTGCTTCCTGCGACTTCTGTTTTTGTTTCAGATTTCCAGCATCTGCAGTATTTTGCGTTTAGTTATTTACAGAATTCAGGACTGAGGAAAAATACAAAACCATATGGAGGAAATTTTTACCAGTTAAATAGTTACTGCCTTCTTCACACTTACCGCCAACTGAACTTCACACTGGGCACTTCAAAGCCATAGTCAGCATGATCATGAAGGTATTCAGCATGCACAGCAGCATTCCACATCACCTGGAGCAAAAGGACAGGGTCAGACAAGAGAAACAGATACAACAATAACAACAACAACAAATTACATTTGTATAGCACTTTTCACGTTGAGAGGACATTCCAAAGCGTTGGAAAATTTTTCCTCAAGCAAAATGAAATAGTAAATGGCAGAGTTTTTGACCAGCTTTCATCTGCCGTTCTCAGAGTAACCAGGATGCATTGCAGTTCAACAACAACTTGCATTTATATAGCGCCCTTCACATAGGGGAGCATCCCGGAGTGCTTGACATGGGGAGCCATGGGGAGAGGGTGAGAGGAGGTGACTGTAAGCATGATCAAAGGTCTTTAGGAGGGACTTGAAAGTGGGGACAGAGGGGTCCATTCACAAGGGCCAATAGCATTTGTGAGGCGAGTGCTCTAACCACTAAGCTACAGGAGTTGGAGGAGAGGATGGTCAGGGAAGGTGTGTGAAACTGGTTTGTGGTGGAGTAGAGGAGAGGAGCCTGGGGTTGTCCTTGGCCTTCAGGATGATAACAATAATAATCCTTGCATTTGCTACAGCGCCTTATGAAGTCTTTGAAAAATCTCAACACACTTCACAGAATATATTGTATAGTGAATTGACTATATTTTGTGGGCGAAACGCAGCAGCCAATTATGCATAGCAGTGTCTCACAACAGTCATGGATTGATTGGCCAATTTTTTTTAATTTTTCCTTTTTTAAGGAATTATTACCCCCAGCAAAGCGATCTGCCAATCGACTAACAACCAAGTTCTTACTTACTGCTGAGTAAGCAGAGGCGTGAGGAGTAAGGAAACTTACCTAAGGTTTTGTCCCACCTGGGAATCAAATTCAGGTCCTCTCGCTTGTGAAGCGAGTGCTTTAACCACTAAGCTACAGAACTCCACATAAAACAGGAGGACCCATTTTGTTATTCATAAAAATGTGAAACAATTTTCCCCCAATAATATTGATGCTGAGGCTATTTCTACATCACTTGTTCGCATAGTAAGTTTAAAATAATCAAAATTTTCAGATACATGATGTTTGATTATAACTGGCTGAGTAGGTCATCAACTGTAGAGTTTAAGAAAAAAAGGTCACCTCTCAACCCTCTTTGTTCCAACGGCAAAAGTTCCAGTTCCTGCTTATAGGTCAAATCACTTACCCCGGTATCATCCCAGGTCAAATTCCACCACGCCTGAATTGAGAAACTAGATACATGTACTTGCCAAATATAATGCTCGCTATCGCTAAGCTATGTGAGCAGCAAGGCGAGTCCTCTTGGCAATTCTTCCTCACAAAAATGAAAACGTGCCAGGACACATTCCACTATATATCAGCTATTTCATTACTGAATATCAGCTATTATTTCATTATATCAGCTATTTCATAATTATGAATTAGCCATTCATAGCAGTCTAATGATCCAGGGCTCCAGCCCCTCAAAAAACAATAAGCTTACCTTTTTAGGTACACATCCAACATTCACCTGTGCATCAAAAAAGAAAAGTCAAATAATTATAATTATCCAAGCATCATACGTTTCAAAATTGAACAGTAAAGTAATTAATTAATAGTGCTTGAAGTACAAAACAATTTATTCAAATCAATACATTATAAATTATTACAAGGAAACATTTCATAAATAATAATAATAATCCTTGCATTTGATATACATTTGGTGACCTCTGTATGACTTGCACTTTTTTTCTCCTCCCACAATGGCAAATATTCTTCTTTCATCTCTTATCAGGATGGTGGTTTTCCATTAGTCATTCTCATTCTTCCCCACAGTCGAGTATTTGGCCCATCCCTAAATACTCTATCCTGAATGCATAGGGACTCAAAACTCATTCTGCTCCAAGACTTGTACGCCTATCACAAACTACAATACAAATCTTATTCCCTTTAAACTCCCATTGCAATTAACATTTTATATAACACCGTTCACAGGCGGAAGGTGTTTCAAAGTGCTATACACAACTGGGCTGGGTACTGAGTTGCAAGTGGAGTCCCAAAGATAGGTCTTGAGGCGGGTTTTGAAGGCAAGCAGGGAGGGAGAGGGAGGTCTGAAGTGGAGGGACTCCGGGATGGAGTCCCAGAGTGGAAACAGAATGGTTAAAAGCTCACCCGATGGTGGGTGGATCAGACAGGGAATATGTCATGGAGGCAGTTGAGAGGGAGGATTTCGAACTTGATCCACTGGGGGACGGGGAGCCGAGCAAGAATAATAATAATAATAATCCTTGCATTTGATATAGCGCTTTTCACGTCAGGAGGACGTCCCAAAGCACTTCTCAGAACACACTGTAAAGTGAACTGACTGTATATTTGTGGGCGGACGCGGCAGCCAATTGCGCACAGCAATGTCCCACAAACAGTCGTAGATTGAAAATGACCAATTTATTAATGTTTTGTTTTTTTGGAGGGATTATTATTAGGCTCTGTGTGGAGTAAGGAAATTTGCCCAAGGTTTCGCCCTCTGCCTGGAATTGAACTCAGGTCTCTCACTTGCAAAGCGAGTGCTCTAACCACTGAGCTACAGGACTCCAGAATGGGTCCCGATGGGCCCTCCGCACCTCTCACACAGTCTCCCACTCTTTCTCACAATCTCACGCGCTCTCGATCACTCCTCTGCTTACCAAGCAGTAAGTAGGATTTGTTTGGTGGAACACTTTCCAAGGGGAATAATCTCTTCAAAAAATAATAATTTGGTCACTCAATCCACGACTGTTTGTGGGACTCCGCTGTGTGCAATCGGCTGCTGCTTTTCGCCCCAAAATATACAAACAATTCACTTTACAGAGTATTCTGTGAAGTGCTTTGAGACGTCGAGAAGACGTGAAAAGCACAATATGAAATGCAAAGATTATTATTATTTGTCAGTCACTCCCTCTCAGTCACACAGTTACTCTCTGAGCTGAGTTCACACACAGAGAGGTTTACTATCTCACTAACAGTTACACACTCACCCTCTCACACACTTACACTTAGTTACCCTCTCACACACTTACACTTAGTTACCCTCTCACACACTTACACTTAGTTACCCTCTCACACACTTACACTTAGTTACCCTCTCACACACTTACACTTAGTTACCCTCTCACACACTTACACTTAGTTACCCTCTCACACACTAAGTTACCCTCTCACACACTTAGTTACCCTCTCACACACTTACACTTAGTTACCCTCTCACACACTTACACTTAGTTACCCTCTCACACACTTACACTTAGTTACCCTCTCACACGCTTACAGTTGCCCTTTCACACAGTTGCCCTCTCGCACACACACAGTTGCCCTCTCGCACACACACAGCTGCCCTCTCGCACACACACAGCTGCCCTCTCGCACACACACAGCTGCCCTCTCGCACACACACAGCTGCCCTCTCGCACACACACAGCTGCCCTCTCGCACACACACAGCTGCCCTCTCGCACACACACAGCTGCCCTCTCGCACACACACAGCTGCCCTCTCGCACACACACAGTTGCCCTCTCGCACACACACAGTTACCCTCTCGCACACACACAGTTGCCCTCTCGCACACACACAGTTGCCCTCTCGCACACACACAGCTGCCCTCTCGCACACACAGTTACCCTCTCGCACACACACAGTTGCCCTCTCGCACACACACAGTTACCCTCTCGCACACACACAGTTACCCTCTCGCACACACACAGTTACCCTCTCGCACACACACAGTTACCCTCTCGCACACACACAGTTGCCCTCTCGCACACACACAGTTGCCCTCTCGCACACACACAGTTGCCCTCTCGCACACACACAGTTGCCCTCTCGCACACACACAGTTACCCTCTCGCACACACACAGTTACCCTCTCGCACACACACAGTTACCCTCTCGCACACACACAGTTGCCCTCTCGCACACACACAGTTGCCCTCTCGCACACACACAGTTGCCCTCTCGCACACACACAGTTACCCTCTCGCACACACACAGTTACCCTCTCGCACACACACAGTTACCCTCTCGCACACACACAGTTGCCCTCTCGCACACACACAGTTACCCTCTCGCACACACACAGTTACCCTCTCGCACACACACAGTTGCCCTCTCGCACACACACAGTTGCCCTCTCGCACACACACAGTTACCCTCTCGCACACACACAGTTACCCTCTCGCACACACACAGTTGCCCTCTCGCACACACACAGTTGCCCTCTCGCACACACACAGTTACCCTCTCGCACACACACAGTTACCCTCTCGCACACACACAGTTACCCTCTCGCACACACACAGTTACCCTCTCGCACACAGTTACTCTCTCACACACACAAACAGTTACCATCTTCCACACAGTTACTCTCTCTCTCACACCAGTTACTCTCTCTCTCTCGCAGTTACTCTCTCTCTCGCAGTTACTCTCTCTCTCTCTCGCAGTTACTCTCTCTCTCTCTCTCGCAGTTACTCTCTCTCTCTCTCGCAGTTACTCTCTCTCTCTCTCGCAGTTACTCTCTCACACACAGTTACTCTCTCTCTCGCAGTTACTCTCTCTCTCTCACAGTTACTCTCTCTCTCGCAGTTACTCTCTCTCTCTCTCGCAGTTACTCTCTCTCCCTCAGTTACTCTCTCTCACAGTTACTCTCACACAGTTACTCTCTCTCTCGCAGTTACGCTCTCTCTCTCGCAGTTACGCTCTCTCTCTCGCAGTTACTCTCTCACACACAGTTACTCTCTCTCTCGCAGTTACTCTCTCTCTCTCACAGTTACTCTCTCTCCCTCAGTTACTCTCTCTCACAGTTACTCTCTCTCACAGTTACTCTCTCTCACAGTTACTCTCTCTCGCAGTTACGCTCTCTCTCGCAGTTACGCTCTCTCTCTCGCAGTTACTCTCTCACACACAGTTACTCTCTCTCTCGCAGTTACTCTCTCTCTCACAGTTACTCTCTCTCCCTCAGTTACTCTCTCTCACAGTTACTCTCTCTCACAGTTACTCTCTCTCTCGCAGTTACGCTCTCTCTCGCAGTTACGCTCTCTCTCTCGCAGTTACTCTCTCTCTCGCAGTTACTCTCTCTCTCTCTCTCACAGTTACTCTCTCTCCCTCAGTTACTCTCTCTCTCTCACAGTTACTCTCTCTCCCTCAGTTACTCTCTCACACACAGTTACTCTCTCTCTCGCAGTTACTCTCTCTCTCTCACAGTTACTCTCTCTCCCTCAGTTACTCTCTCTCACAGTCACTCTCACACAGTTACTCTCTCTCTCAGTTACTCTCTCTCACAGTTACTCTCTCTCACAGTTACTCTCTCTCGCAGTTACTCTCTCTCACACACAGTTACTCTCTCTCTCGCAGTTACTCTCTCTCTCTCACAGTTACTCTCTCTCCCTCAGTTACTCTCTCTCACAGTCACTCTCACACACAGTTACTCTCTCTCGCAGTTACTCTCACACACACACAGTTACTCTGCAGTAATAATGACAGTGACCGGGGCGGGTCCCTGTCTCTGACTCACTTACACAGGTCCCCCCCAGTCGGTTGCTCTCGATCACGGCGGCCCTCCTGCCGAGCTCGGCCGCCCTGCGGGCCGCGGCCAACCCCCCCGAGCCGCCGCCGATCACCAGCAGGTCCAGGCGGGCCCCGAGCGGCCCCGAGCCCGGCACACAGCCCGACATCCCGCTCACACCAGCCGCGCCCACAGCCCCGCGCAGCCACAGCGGCACCGACACACACTGAGCCAAGAGGGCCATGAGAGGGGAGAGCGAGAGAGAGGGCAGGGCCGCGAGGGGCGGGGCTACCGCGGGGGGCGGGGCTCAGTGTGAGGGGCAGGGCCGCGAGGGGCGGGGCTACCGCGGGGGGCGGGGCTCAGTGTGAGGGGCAGGGCCGCGAGGGGCGGGGCTACCGCGGGGGGCGGGGCTCAGTGTGAGGGGCAGGGCCGCGAGGGGCGGGGCTACCGCGGGGGGCGGGGCTCAGTGTGAGGGGCAGGGCCGCGAGGGGCGGGGCTACCGCGGGGGGGCGGGGCTCAGTGTGAGGGGCAGGGCCGCGAGGGGCGGGGCTACCGCGGGGGGCGGGGCTCAGTGTGAGGGGCAGGGCCGCGAGGGGCGGGGCTACCGCGGGGGGCGGGGCTCAGTGTGAGGGGCAGGGCCGCGAGGGGCGGGGCTACCGCGGGGGGCGGGGCTCAGTGTGAGGGGCAGGGCCGCGAGGGGAGGGGCTACCGCGGGGGGCGGGGCTCAGTGTGAGGGGCAGGGCCGCGAGGGGCGGGGCTACCGCGGGGGCGGGGCTCAGTGTGAGGGGCAGGGCCGCGAGGGGCGGGGCTACCGCGGGGGGCGGGGCTCAGTGTGAGGGGCAGGGCCGCGAGGGGCGGGGCTCAGTGTGAGGGGCAGGGCCGCGAGGGGAGGGGCTACCGGAGGGGGCGGGGCTCAGTGTGAGGGGCAGTGCCGCGAGGGGAGGGGCTACTGGAGGGGGCGGGGCTCAGTGTGAGGGGCAGGGCCGCGAGGGGAGGGGCTACCGGAGGGGAGAGGCTCAGTGTGAGGGGCAGGGCCGCGAGGGGAGGGGCTCAGTGTGAGGGGCAGGGCCACGAGGGGAGGAGCTACCAGAGGGGGCGGGGCTCAGTGTGAGGGGCAGGGCCGCGAGGGGAGGGGCTACCGGAGGGGGCGGGGCTCAGTGTGAGGGGCAGGGCCGCGAGGGGCGGGGCTACCGGGGGGGCGGGGCTCAGTGTGAGGGGCAGGGCCGCGAGGGGAGGGGCTACCGGAGGGGGCGGGGCTCAGTGTGAGGGGCAGGGCCGCGAGGGGCGGGGCTCAGTGTGAGGGGCAGGGCCGCGAGGGGAGGGGCTACCGGAGGGGAGAGGCTCAGTGTGAGGGGCAGGGCCGCGAGGGGAGGGGCTACCGGAGGGGAGAGGCTCAGTGTGAGGGGCAGGGCCGCGAGGGGAGAGGCTACCGGAGGGGGCGGGGCTCAGTGTGAGGGGCAGGGCCGCGAGGGGAGGGGCTACCGGAGGGGAGAGGCTCAGTGTGAGGGGCAGGGCCGCGAGGGGAGAGGCTACCGGAGGGGGCGGGGCTCAGTGTGAGGGGCAGGGCCGCGAGGGGAGGGGCTACCGGAGGGGGCGGGGCTCAGTGTGAGGGGCAGGGCCGCGAGGTGAGGGGCTACCGGAGGGGGCGGGGCTCAGTGTGAGGGGCAGGGCCGCGAGGTGAGGGGCTACCGGAGGGGGAGGGGCTCAGTGTGAGCGGCAGGGCCGCGAGGGGAGGGGCTACCGGAGGGGGCGGGGCTCAGTGTGAGGGGCAGGGCCGCGAGGGGAGAGGCTACCGGAGGGGGCGGGGCTCAGTGTGAGGGGCAGGGCCGCGAGGGGAGGGGCTACCGGAGGGGGCGGGGCTCAGTGTGAGGGGCAGGGCCGCGAGGGGAGGGGCTACCGGAGGGGGTGGGGCTCAGTGTGAGGGGCAGGGGAAGGGCTATTAGAGATGGGAGGGGCTATCAGACAGGGGAGGGGCCATCAGAGATGGGAGGGGCCATCAGAGATGGGAGGGGCTATCGGGGAGGGGAGGGGCTATCAGATAGGAGGGGCTATCAGACAGGGGAGGGGCTATCAGAGAGGGGGGGCTATCAGAGAGAGAGAGAGAGAGGGCGCTATCACAGAGAGGAGGGTTCATCAGTGAGAGAGAGAGAGGAGGTCCGTGGGGTGTCCTCGGAGCTGACCTGCTCTGAGGTGACCCGTTTGGCAATGGAATGGAGTCAGATCTCTGTGACGGCCTCCAACAACAACCACAAGGATCTCGAAGGGCAGAGCAGTCACTGGGGGCAGGGAGTCACCCACTCAGCTCCTGTTAACGCAGCAACCAAGGCCCTTAATGGATAGGGTGGTCCCAGCTGGACAAGCAGCGGGAAAATTTGCCAGAAAGCGTTATCAATGACAAGCTACAAAACACTGCAGATGCTGGAATCTGAAACCAAAACAGAGAGGGCTGGGAACACTCGACAGGTCAGGCAGCATCTGTGGAGAAACAACAACAACAACAAGATTCCATTTATAAAGCGCCTTTCACGTCAGGAGAACGTCCCAAGGCGCTGCACAGTTGGGTCATGACCCGAGCAGGGGGGAAATGGTCAGGGTGAGGGGAGGGAAGGGAGGGAGCGAGGAGGGGGGAAATGGTCAGGGTGAGGGGAGGGAAGGGAGGGAGCGAGGAGGGGGGAAATGGTCAGGGTGAGGGGAGGGAAGGGAGGGAGTGAGGAGGGGGGAAATGGTCAGGGTGAGGGGAGGGAAGGGAGGGAGCGAGGAGGGGGTAGAGAGTCGAGAGGGGAGCTGAAGGCTCGGTCAAAGAGAAAGGTTTTGAGACCGGCCTTGAAGGAGGAAAGGGAGGAGGCGGCGAAGGCACTGGGGGATGGCGTTCCAGAGCCTAGGGGCTGAGAGGCTGAAGGCCCGGCCACCGATGGTAGGGCGGTTGGGGCGGGGGATGTGGAGCAGACCGGAGCCAGAGGAACGGAGGGTACGGGCAGGTAGGTAGGGAGATAGTAGGTTGGAGAGGTAGGAGGGAGCAAGGCCGTGAATGGCCTTGTAGGTGAGGATGAGGATCTTGAAATCAATCCTCTGGGGGATGGGGAGCCAGTGGAGGCGAGCGAGGGTGGGAGTGATGTGGTCGCGGTGTCTGGTGCGGGACAGTACATGAGCTGCAGAGCTCTGAATGACCTGCAGTGTGGAGGGAGGTGGCGGGAAGGCCGACGAGGAGAGAGTTCCCATAGTCCAGCCTTGAGGTGACAAAGGCATGAACCAGGATTTCAGCCGCGTGAGGGGTGAGGTAATGCCGTAGTCTGGCGATATTCCGGAGGTGATGGAAGGCGGTGCCAGTTGTGGAAAGTGAGTCAATGTTTCGGGTCCACGACCCTCTGTCAGAACTTTGTTCTCTCTGTTTTTGTTTCAACGACAAGCTACGTGGTTTTAGCTGGTTAGACTCCAGCAGTACCCCAACCCACACACTGGGGTCCCCAAGCCTGAGCTCTTGCCAACCTGCGCCTAATACTTTCCGGAATCAGGTAATCCAGAGGGAGAGAGCACACATTCCATTCCAACAATGTATCTCTGGGATTTCCATGTGTAGGTGGGATGCAGAGAAATCTCAGCTTAGTTTGGATACTCTTGAGCATGGTGATGGGTTTCCGCATGAGTCATACACCTAGCTATCACTGAGAGGGCAGTCTCTTAGCCCCAGCGCCTTGGACATCTTCCTGACGGGAGAGATGCTATATAAACATAAATCTGTTGTTTGTGTAATCCCAACCTTTCTAATTCATTTAGCACAATGAAAATAGAGCCGTCAGGATAAACCCATTTAAAAATGGACAAATGCCTGGTTGGGAAGTTATATTTGTAAGTGCAAATTAATTTTCAAATATTTTATGAACTCAGTTCCTGATGTAGGAAGATAGGAATATGTCAGAAAGCAGCTAATAAGATGAATTATGTATGCTATAAGATTTAATAGATTTTTGTTTGATTACTTCTTATGGCAAGGGGAATCTGTGGCACCTTTCCTCGGGCAACTGAATAGGTGTGGTGCAGATAATGTTACAGTACATGCTTTATGGAAAAAGCAGGTTTGATGCAGTTTTTCTGTTACACCCTATGACATTTTGCAAGCATTAGTCACGCTCCAAGGCTCAACTGAGCTGGCTGACAATAGATCATTATACTTGAATTTTGTTTTGGGCTTAAATACAGAACTCTGCCCCATATTTGTTCTGTCTGTATGCGTGAGGTGTGATCTTATCACTTTGTTCGAATTGAACTTTAGCAGCTTCAGCAGTGACTCAGAAGATTTGACGAACAATGACATTATTCAGACAGAATCAGTCTGACGTCAGTCCTCTGTGTACTTCAACGACTCACTGAATCAAATCTTGCATTGAAGGAGGTGCCAACCTTCAGATTAGACATTAAACCGAGGTCCTGACTGCAGGTTTAGGTGGATGTTAAAGATTCCATTGCACTATTCGAAGAGAAGTTTTTCCTGGTGTCCTGGCCATCAATCCCCCAAATAAAATTGTTCACTCACTCCATGGATGTTTGTGGGATAATGTGTGCAAACTGGCTGCCGTCTTTCACCCACAAAAATACACAAGTCAATCAACAATATCGTGAAGCACTTTGAGACATCTCAATGATATAACGTGATAAGACACTATATCAAATGCAAGGATTATTTCTACTTTTAAAAACTTAGGGAAAAAAGGGGGTTTTCAAATGATTCTACTCAACATGTTATGAATGAAAACGGGATAATAAGAAGAAGATGATTCCATTCATAGAGCGCCTTTCACGTTGGGAGGATGTCCCAAGGCGCTGTACAGTTGGGTCAGGGGACATTCTTCACTTGTTACTGGCCAGTGGCAAAACTACAGTAACATCTTTTAAAACCTTGCAGGCAAAGCAAAATAAATATTTTCCAGTCATATTTGTTGTAGTAGAGAATTAAAATTTTAATTCAGAACAAGGGCATAGCTAAACCAACATTTCACAGTACTTACACAAAGTACAGCCCTCCTGTTTTAAGTCGGCTTTTTCTGCTGCCACACAATGCTCAGACAGATAACCAACCTGGTAGGGTCTTCATTCTTTCAATCTGGTAGAGAAGGAACTGGCACAGTATGCTACTAGAGTGCTATTATAATTTCTGATTGAAGTTGTTTTTGTTGTATTGATGTCGATTTGTATTTTCTTTGATCTATTAACTGCACTGCTTCCGTATCCACAATAGGACTGGTCACTACTAAATACTCCAGTAAAGATTACACGAGTATTTACAATTGCCTGGAAAAGACAGAAAGGGAAGGTAGACTACACCTTTATGGTCGGCCAACAAAATACATTTTTTTGATTAAATATTTCTTGATTTATGCCATAAATCAAGAAATATTCAATCAAGAAAAAGATGAAAACACACTACCGATGAAACATAGACTTACCTAGACTAATGTGAATGTTCTGGGCTGTTTCCTGACAACCTTGTGGGCCACATAGGTTGGTCACCACTGGACTACACAATGCTCAAGAATATTAGCAAGCAACTTCATTAAATGCAGAATGATATTCAATGCTCATTGGGCAGTTTTGAAGCATTAGTCCTCAGACAATAATGAATTGTGTAGGCTCAGATGCCTCCCAATCAATATAGAAAAACAGCAGCAAAAGGCAAAATATAGTAATAGAAAGACCCAGCAAACCCTCCAATCCTATTGGTTCACTTGCTCCAACTGACATTGGACTTAAAATGCAGTTTAACAACTTGTGAAAACCTACACTATAAATGGCAAAAGAATAAAGATTTTTTTAAAACGACAAAATATTAAGGGAAGAAATTTATACTTAAAATAAGAGTACTTTATAATTTCTTTGTCCAATAAAATTGTATACAATAAATTGTAACAGAACTGCTCCTAACTAATTAGGGCAATAGCTGCCTTGGCTCATTATGCTTTCACACCCATCTATTATATTTCCCCATCAGTTGTAGCTTAGCTTCATTGATAAGGAATCAGTTAAGAGGTTTTGACTACAGTAGATATCAGCTTACAAACAAAACACCACAATGAAATGATTCAATGTTTCAGAAACCAGTCCACAACATCATACAGAGTGTATACTTGGGTTGGACATAATCACAATCAAAATAACCCAATAGCATATCAAGAATTGGACATGTATGTTCTTTTTAGGTCTTGAAGTATCCATTTCATCTTCTTTGTGTACCACCAAATCCTATTAAAAAGGAAAAAAATGAATTTCAACATCCTTCAGAAGACTTCATTTTAAGCTAAATTCAGTAAATTAATAGTTTTTATATAGATCTATATATATAAGGTTCAGATGTTATGTATATATATATATAAAATATATATTATATATATGTTGGGATCATAAGTACTGTTGAAATCAGAAGTATTGCCAGGATCAGAAGTGACTTATACAAATGTTGGCATAGTGTTTATACTTAACAGGTGTTGAGATAACTTGCAGACATACAATCTTGATTATAAAATGCTGTTGGAAGTTAAATTGAGCTGAAATGCAGAACTATCTAAAAATAACTGGTGTCACAGGGTAGTTGGTATAACACTAGATAAAATGGTATTAGAAGATGTCAATATGGCGAGTATTGTATTATGAAGAGTTAAATCGGCTACGAAAGAAGTGGAATTTGTTATTGCAGCTGTAGTCTGTTGCGTCATGAATTCATTGCTGGAGTATGTAGCTGTTGTTTGATCAGTCAAGACTGACCTGACTAAAACAATCAGGTGGGTGCTGCTGTGCACTGATCGGTCTGTAGTAGATAACAAAGATATAAAATATAGATGAGTTACACCTGAGTTTGTGAGGGGTGAGTGAGCCTGCATTGTTCACTCATCCAAAAGAGGGAAGAACTCTCACCCAAAGTTCATAGATTCGAGTACCATCAGAAGAAGAACAAACGTCAACAATACAAGAACAGTTGCAAGAGATTAAACACCCACTATCATCTGCGTTCTCAAACCTAGAGAATCCTTGTCTGCTGCTTGCAAACTTTGATATTGTCACCACAGTAATGTACTATACTTAAGCATAATAGCATAATATTGCTTATTGTAACCCTGGTTATCATACCCCTGTTTATTCAATCAAATATCAAAGCTGAACATAATATTCCAATTCAGCCCAACCAAAGACCTATATAATATGAATAGGACTTTCCTAAATTTATATTCAATATCCGCATTTTCAAATCCCAGAAGTTCTTGGGATCATTTATTTTGACTGCATACATGACAATATCACTAGCTTCCTCAGAACAACAAACATAAAGTGATACATAAATGTTTTACATCTGTGGGGAAATTTACCTGAAGCTGTCCTGGTTCCTGAAGTACCAGGAGAATTTATGCCACTCATATTCCTGTGTGGTGGGGGGTGTGATTGATGTCCCCAGCTGTATGGGTAAGAAGGGCTTGGCTGTGACCTGCAGAGAAAAAACAATAATTGCATTTTGTGTCAATGGAATGTCCAAAGGTGCGAGACAGTTGATGGTTTGCATCTCGACCCCGGGTTGGAGGGGGGGTAGGTGCGAGTGCGAAGATGACTGGAGGCTGAAGAGGAAGGTTTTGAAACAGGTCTTGAAGGAGGGAGGGAAGAAGCGAGGTGAAGGGACATGGGCAGACGGCCCAACTCCCGATGGAGGGACAGGGAATGTGGGAGCCGAGAGGAAGGAACAAAGTTGGGTCACAGAGGTAGGGTGGGCAACCATGGACGGCTTTAAAAGTCAAGGATGTTGAACTTGATCCTCTGGGGGATAAGGATCCAGTGAAGCCGGGTGGGGGTGATACGCTCTTGGGAGTCTGGAGCAAGAGAGGACATGAGCTGCAGTTCTGAATGATCTGCAGCTTGTGGAGAAAAAGTTGAGTAAACCAGTGAGCAGAGTTGCTTAAGGCTGGAGTCCTATAGCCCAGTGGTTAGAGCACTCGCCTCGCAAGCAAGAGACTTGGGTTCTATTCTCAGCAGAGCGAAATGTTGGGCAAGTTTCCTTACTCCACACACCTTTGTTTACCCAGCAGTAAGTAGGAACCCGGTTGTTAGTCGATTGGTGAATCACTTTTCCACGGATAATAATTCCTCAGAAAAAAACAATAATAATTTGGTCATTCCAATCAACGACTGTTTGTGGGACACTGCTGTGCGCAATTGGCTGTCGTGTTTTGCCCACAAACATACAGTTAATTCATTTTACAGGATATTCTGTGAAACGCTTTAGAAGATGTAAAAAGCACTATATCAAGTGCAAGGACTATTATTATTACTTAAATAACAGAAGCATGGATAAGGATCTCAGCGGCCCAAGGGGCAATATTGCCGAGCTGGGTAAAAGCTTCACAGAACAAAGTGTGGATGTGGGGTTTAAAGTAAAAAAAATGAGAATTGAATAAATCACCAAAATTCCACATTGGTTCAGTGAGGTGCAGTGTGCATCCAAGTAGATGTGAATGCACCAACTTGTAAATTTTCAGAAAAGTATAGACCTGAAACTCTTGATCCTGCGGGGTAGACAATACGCAGTATAAAGATTGTTATGGGAGGAACAAGCTCTCAGCAGATGACTGGGTTGTACACGGTGCCAAGGTCTTATCAAGTTGGCTCATGTAAAAGTTAGGAATCCCAGCCATATCAGACACTGCCCACTTCAGTTTTGAGCAATGCTGTACACTGTCCAGCATCTGTGCCTTTCAGTGATATACAGTAAAACTTACATAAGTCGTATCAGTTGGGACCATAACATTTAATATGACTTACGAGAATTCCAAGTTGCAAGCAAACTGTTTAAACCGTATAAAATCTGATTTAATCAATACTCTGCACTACACATGCGTAATTCAATGTAGTCATTAAGTTCATATGAGGTACTTTGTCACTGCAGCCGTTAAGTGCACATATGCACTGGCAGGTCAGGAAGTCATTTCCCGCGATTCAATGCAGCTCGTGAGCGCGGGAGTAATGGGAGCAACATTAAGAATTAGTAGATGATAAATATGACCAGAGAAAATAAAGCTATGTGGTTTTGATGGGACTCGGGTGCAGATATTAGGCAACTTAGGCGATTATCTGATTTATGAAGATAAGACTTGTACAAGTTTTATTGTACTTGATATAAACAGCAATCCTGGAAATATTTTTGATAAGATTCTAAAGGGCAGGTAGAAGTTAGTTGTGAATCAGGCAAGATTGTTGAAGCTCACTTGCATAATAACATTTTTAAGGAGATGAATTTAAGATGAATTTAAAAACAGTCAAACAAAGATAATGGCAGAAGCTATAAGATTATAAATGGCATACCTCCTGCTTCCCATCAGATATCCAAGCAGACCTCCTGCACCCATTCCAGACCAAAACCCCGGGCCTGAACTATTGCCAGCATTCCGAGGTCCATAGTTATTCCCTTGATGGGGACCACCTCTAAAACCTTCTTGTTCGTCACCTGAAACAAAGCACATGTATGTATTAGTTAGATATATAGCGATAACCTATGCAAGATAGTGAACAAATAGTGTTTATTACTGATCAATAGGTGAGCCAAGATAGACATCTAACTTTGTTATAATAATTCAAGATGTGTTAAAAAAAACTTTCCCATTTACAGATACTCAGTGTTGAATGAGAAATGGGCACCAGACCAGAAATTTCATGCAATACTACCTGGAGAGCTGTTATGTAATTATTTATGAAACCGAACAATTTGACCCACCAATTCATTCATGTGGCAGAACAAAAACATTATCCCTTTGTGGATTACTAATCACTCTTAATCGAGAAGCAGGACAATAAGCAAAAAAACTCAAAAACCTAAAGGATTAACATTTTAAGCTTAGAAATTACAATGGAAGAGCAAATCATGATAATTTATGAAATTTATAGGCACTGGTATTATATCATATTTAAAGCAGTTATACCTTTTACCTGTTATAGCTTCCATATAATGCGGGTCTGTAAATAACTCTGGTACACAAGGTACCTGCTGACTAGCCATGTTTGTGGATATAAAGGAAGAGCCTTGGACTATAGGTAGCAACATTTGGCAATGTCAATCCTCTGTGGCAGTCTCAGTAGTTCGGTCCCTTTCTGAGTTGCTGCCCACATGAAGGGCATTATATAAGTTGTTGTTGTGGTTCCTGAGCCAGACAGGTCTGCAGTGTTCCAGAGCCCTGCTGATGACAGACCAGCACTATAACAGGGTCCAACCTTTAGTTAGTATGCACTCTGTATGTACAGGAAGTGATATCAGTGGCAACTTGATGACCAGAAAGTCAATCATATCATTTTCTTTCGTATGGGGCACCAGTTTAAGATTATGAAAGGGTTTGAGAAGGTAAATATAAGTTCACCTACAAATACACATTCACTGCATTTCATAGTAAAATCCTGTGAATCATTTTGACAATTCTTAACCGTGTGATCAGATAATCACTAACATATCTAAAAATGAATTTAGGAGGAAGTTCTTATCAGGCAGAGAATGTGGAACTCTCTGGCAAACTTTGGTTAAAACAGAAACCATTACTTCATGTAAGAGGAAATTTGATACATACGTGAGACAGAAGGGAATAGAGAAAACCTAGGGAAGTGGAATTAGGATGGATGGAGGTTCAAGTGGATTGTAAACATTGGCAGAGTTGAATGGTCTTTTTGGCATTATAAGTTCCATGAAATTCTATGCAATATAACTGAAATAACGAGGGGAAAAAGATGAATTTACCTGTGAAGTCCGGTTTAAAGCCAGGTGGGGGAGGAGGAGCAGTGGGATATGGACCATGGGGACCTGGACCATGGGGACCTGGTCCATAAGGACCAGAAAAGCCACTTCCATCTGAGGCTGCCTGGTTCCTCAGCTGCTGGTGACTCAAAAAGACTTTGTAAAGTAAATAAGCAACACCCAGCAGTATCAGTACCACCACCACATTACTTGAATCAGAGGAATAGGAAGTTTGATAGTTGGGTGATCCAGAATAGAATCCAGTGTTACTTTTCCTTTTCCGATAGCCTTCCTCAGTAAGCTCTATCATATATTCCAGACCACAGGATCCCTGCAAAACATACGGATCTTCTGGATAGTTGTAGCCTTCACACGTAACCATGATTGTTCCAAATCGATAAGCGTGGTCCATATCAGTTTTACATTCCCACTGTATAAGATAAAAAACATACATTTTATAGTACATAAATGAACAACAAGGATTTATACAGCGCCCTACACACCAGACGGCGTCTCAGAGCGCTTCACAGTAACGGATCCCGGGGCCGAGCCAGGGGGAGAGTGGGAAATTGACCAAAGACGTGGTTGAAAAGAAAGTTCTTCAGCAGGGACATGAAAATAGGAAGAAAGGTAGCGAAGCGAAAGGAGTGAGGAAGGGAATTCCAGAGCCTCGGGATCATATACATAAAGCATGCTAAAAAAAAATCATATCCATAAAGCATGCTAAAAAAATTTTTTTGCATCAAATAGTATCTTTATTTGTTAAAATTAAATAATACTCCAGTTCACATTTTATAGCTTGAATCACGCCTATGAACGTGCTTGATGGCACTTACTAGATATATATTTAAATACCAAAAACAAGCAATGGAACTAAAGTTGAAAAATAGTTATAATGGTATACACGGGATAAGCGGACATCATAGAGCGCTCATCTCGCAAGCAAGAGAATTTGGGTTCGATTTCTAGGCAGGGTGAACATTAGGCAAGTTTCCTTATTCCACACACCTTGTTCATCCAGCAATAAGTAGGAAGCTGGGTATTAGTCAATTGGCGGATTGCTTTTCCGGGGTTAATAATCCCTTTCAAAAAAAAATTTAGTCTCAATCCATGTTTGTCAGCCATTGCTGTGCGTAATTGGTTGCCACGTTTCGCCCACAAAATATACAGTCAATTAACTTTACAGCATTCTGTGAAGTGCGTTCAGAGGTCTCAAATACGTGATAAGGCGCTATATCAAGGATTTCTATTATTATCATATTCTATATATCGTACAAAGGTCATACCATTGCCAGACAAATCAATGAGTAACCATTATCACAAGGACAATGTTATTAAAGCCTCTTCCCTCTTAAAGTTGAGCAAAGATGGTGTAAATGCATCAAACAGTGTAGCTGTGTAGCTCATAGACCAAAAAATACCCAGATTCAATAATAATATTCCTCGCATTTGATATCTTGTAGCGCCTGATCATTTCGTTGAGACGTCTCAAAGGACTTCATTGGATATACTGTAAAGTGGATTGACAGCATTGCAATGATCAGCCTAGGTGTGAGTTGAAACCCCAACGTGGAGCTTGAACCCACAACATTCTGACTCACAGACAAGAGTGCTACCAACTGAGTCAGGCCAATACTTAAATAGCTGGAAAGACCATTGATAAAAGGAATTGTTAGGAAATTAGGAAATTAAAGAATTTGGCAATTTTCAACTTTACAACTGGCTATAACCACCACAAAGGCTTCTATTGGTCCTGTATGTGCCCAAGTCTATGAAATATCCAGTAGCAGTATCCAATTAATTATTTAAAAAAATATCCTCAGGCAATAACATTTATTAACATGAAGGCAGATTATTCACTGCAGATCTTGTGAGTAGCTAATGGGTAAAATACAATCCTGGTTTATTAATTTGTTACTGCCCAGACAATCAAAATACTCAAAATCCAATTTCACACCAAAGCATCACATTACCTGCACATCATAACCATCCCAACCTTTGTTGTAGCACTGTACCACTTCCGGAATAAAGGTGCCACATCCAGCAGTGCCACCAACACATTTCAGCTGGGGTACAGATTTGGTACGACGGCCATTGGTGTAACGCCCATTGTATAGTGTCAGAGCCTGGATCTCTCGAAGAAGAATCCTGTCTGGAAATGAAAAAAAGAAAAATGTAATACTTGCTTTTATTCTGTATTAGATCATGACATGTCAAGTACATGTTAAGTGCTCTGGGACACTACCCTCAATGATGGGCGCTGTATAAATGCAAGTTGTTGTAAGCTACTTCAGCTACGAGGGAGGGTGTACAAAATGCAACTGCAAAAATACAAATCAGTTTGGCTTCCACACAAACTCAGGTCCCTATTCAGCTAAAAACCCTAATGGGTAGGGTGATCCTAGCTGGACAAGCTGCCAGAAGCTTTCTAGACCACTCTAGCAGTACTCCAACATACTTCTTGTTTTGGATAACCTTCCACATCATATTTACTTTTTCCTTATCTGAAGGATTGTCTACGTTGGTTTAACATCTTATCTGAAAGGTGGCATCTCCAACAACACAGTGCTTCCTAGCATTGGAGTGATCAGCCAAGACTATGCGAGTTGAAAGCTCCAACATGGAGCTTGAATCCACAACCTTCTGGCTCATAGACAAGAGTGCTACTAACTGAGCCAGCCAGGAAAACCTCCCTTCTTTTAAAACAGTGCCACAGGATCTTTAACATCTAACCTGAACAGGCAGGCGGGACCTCAGTTTAACATCTCATTTGGATGGCAACTCCAACAATGCAGTGCACCACCAGCACTGCACCAGAGTGTCAATTTGCGAATTGAAAGCCACAACCTGGGCCTTGAACCCACAACCATTTGACTGAGAAGTGAGAGTGCTATCAACTGAGCCAGGCTGGCACACAATCATTGTGTTACAAGCAATGGAGACTTTATGTTTTACAATTTTTCTGGTCAAGAGAGACAATAAAATCTGTAAATTATAAAAAATGGATGTGAAACCAAAAATGCAGGCTATTTTTAAACGCAGGGTAAGTGTAGGATATTGAGGTTGATGACGACCTGAAGCTCACTACGGAAGCTGTGGTAAATGCAAAAAAAAAACCTACGTATTTAAGAGGGAGGAAACGAAACATAAACGAGGGAGAATATAACAGAGGACAGAGTAGGGAATAGGAGCAATGTGGTCAGATTGGGTAGGTTCAAGGGTTTTGTTGTCACTGGGCATGAAAAAACAGCTTGGAGTGGATGCCTAATTTTTAATTTCCTTATGTAAATCTGCAAGTGTTTTTTTCTGCTTTTGAAGACATTTTCTTAGTTTCAAAAGCTCTGACCTAAATCAGCCACTCTGCCTCCCCATAGGGGGCGGCACAATACATTGGGGCTACTTTGGGGCTATTGTTTGGTGGGTTTGGGCTACAAACCCGTGTTAATTGCCCTGGTGAGGAGCTGAGGGCAGGTGCTGCTGCCCCGCCTGTGTGATGTGCAGTAAGATGACAGTAACGGGTCAGCTGTGATCCGAGCTGAGGGGCATCACGCACCTGAACCGTCCCAGGCCTCAGCCAACGCCAGGAGCAACAGCAGGCCGCCCGCGGGAGACATGTCTGCCACGTCCACTTCCGGACAGTCGGGATAGCTCGCGCATGCGCACGCACCACCTAACGGCCGCTTCCGGCCGGGGCTGCGCGCGCCGCAGCGGCAGAGTCAGCGGCCCCGCCCACGCACTACGTGATGGATGTCGTTACGAGTGACGTCACAATCACTCAGGGGTCCCTTGGGGTGTGTTCATTTGCACAGTGAATGACAAGACACACAACACACACTACATAAGACCATGAGGGCATCTGATTCACAAAGGAACAGGGGGAGGAGGCAGATAATACCACAGCATCAGAGGAGAGGGGAGAGAATGTGGATAAGATCAGACTAAACCGAGAGGAAGTACTAACAAGGTTGTCGGTGCTCAAGGTGGATAAATCACCCTGTCCAGTGACTGTGGGATGGGGTTCCAGAGGTTGGGGGCAGAGTGGCTGAAGGCTCTCCCACCCATGGTGGGGCGGGTGGGTCGGGGGATGTGGAGCAGGACAGAGCCGGCTGAGCGGAGGAAACAGGCGGGTTGGTAGGGGGTTAGGAGGTCACAGAGGTAGGGTGAGGCGAGGCCATGGAGGGCTTTGTATGTGAGGACCAGGATCTTGAACTGGATCCTCTGTAGGATAGGGAGCCAATGGAGTCGGGTGAGAGTGGGAGAGATGGGGTCACAGAGTTTGGTGCGGGAGAGGACACGGGCTGCAGAGTTCTGGATTATCTGCAGTCTGTGGAGGGAGGAGTTGTGAAGGCTGACAAGCAGGGGTTTGCATAGTCGAGCCTGGATGTGATGAAGGCATGAACAAGAGTTTCAGCGGCCTGAAGGGTGAGGTAGTGGCGGAGTCGGGCGATGTTACGGGGGTGAGAGAAGGCAGAGTGGGTCATGGCTTGGATGTGGGGAAGAAAGGACAGTTGAGGGTCGAACAAGACACCAAGGTTCCTGACTGGCTTGGTGAGTCAAGTTAAATCACACGGTTCTCACTTCCTCCACCTACCTGACCTCCCCCTAAAACTCTCTGAACCTGTATGCAACTCAGACGTTAGGCTTGACCCCCAATTGTCCTTCCTCCCCCACATCTAGTCCCTCACCAGCACCGCCTTCTTCCACCTATGACACATCGCCAATACCTCACTCCAAAAGCCACTGAAACCCTGGTCCATGCCTTTGTCACCTCTCGGCTGGACTATTAAAATGCCCTCCTCGCCGGTCTCCCCTCCACTACCATTCATAAAATCCAGGTCATACAAAACTCTGCCGCCCGCATTCTTACCCACACCAAACTCCGCTCCCCGATTACCTGTCCTTGCCAGACTGCACTGGCTGCCTGCCCCAAAAAGAATCAACTTCAAGATCCTCACCCTTGTCTTCAAATCCCTCCAATCCTCTGCACCTCTTTACCTCTCTGACCTCCTCTCTCCTCACAACAGTGCCCACTGCCTTCGCTCCACTGGGTCTGGCATCCTCCTTGTCCCCCGAGTCCTCTGCTCCACCATCAGCGGCCATGCCTTGAGCCACTACGCCCCGAGGCTCTGGAACTGCCTTCCTCACTCCCTTTGCCTCGCCCCCTCTCTTCCCACTTTCAGGATCCGCTGAAGACCTTTCTTTTCGACCGCGCCTTTGGTCATCTTCCTCCCGCTCCCCCCGGCTCGGTCCCGGGATCCATTACTGTGAAGCGCTCTGAGATGTTGTCCGGCCTGGAGGGCACTATATAAATCCAAGTTGTTGTTGTTGAGTTCAAGTGTGCAACCACGGAGGTTGATGTTGCCAGAGCCTGAGGTGCTGAGGCGCTGGCTCGAGCCAATCAGGAGGGCCTCAGTCTTGTTCACATTCAACTGTAGGAAATTTGCCTTTATCCAGGACTTGATGTCCGACAGGCAGTCTGTCAGGACAGCAGTGTTCCTGGAGTTGAGGGTGGAGGCAGAAAGATAGAGTTGGGTGTCATCCGCATACATATGGAAGTTGACCCCATGTCTGAGAATGATGTCACCAAGGGGGGAGCATGTAGATATTAAAGAGGAGAGGGCCAAGGACAGAGCCCTGGGGGACACCAGACGTGACAGTGCGGGGGCTGGAGGAGCAGCCGTTAGAGGCAACAAAGTGGAAATGGTGAGAGAGATAGGAATTGAACCAGGCAAGGGCAGGTCTGTGAAGATTAAGTAAAGAGGAGAGGCGGTGTATGAGGATGGAGTGGTCGACAGTGTCGAAGGCAGCAGAGAGGTCGAGGAGGACAAGGAGGCAGAGGGAGCCCTGATCACAGATGTTCTGAATGTCATTAGTGACTTTGACCAGGGCTGTTTCCGTGCTGTGGGCAGCGTGGAAGCTGGATTGGAGGGGTTCAAGTGAGAAAGAAAGAAAGCAACGGACCTCGGACGCGATGACTCATTCCAGGACCTTGGAGAGGAATGGGAGCTTAAAGATGGGGCTGGAGAGCAGGGATTGGTCCAGGGAAGGTTTTTTCAAGATGGGGGTGATGACGGCTGTTTTTAGGGGGAGTGGAAACCAGTGGACAAGGAGAGGTTGATGACGTCGGACAGGAGGGGGGCCAGAAGGTGGAGCTGGGAGATGAGGAGAGAGGTGGGGATGGGATTGAGGAAGCAACAACAAGATTACATTTGTATAGTGCCTTTCACGTTGGGAGGATGTCACAAGGTGTTGGTGGTGGTGGTGGGTTTGAGTTTGCGGACAGTCGTGGTGAGGGAGGATTGAGAGATAGGGTCGAAGGAGTTTAGGGGGGGATGGGTGGGTCATGAGGGAGAGTTGATGTGGGGGTAGCTGTGGACGGGGCTGAGGTGACTGAACTTATCCCCTTGTTTTTGGATTCAAGTAAGTCCAGCATCTCCTCACAGTTGGGAGTTTGAGGAGAGGATGGGCGAGGCATGGGAGGGTGGATGGAGGAGACGGTTTGTGGTCGAACAGAGAAACCTGGCGTTGTCCTTTGCCTCCAAGATAACCTTGGAGTAGAAGGAGGATTTGGCAGAGGCAAGAGTGCAGCGGTAGATCTTGGTATGATGTAGCCAAATCTGCCGATGGACCGTTAGTTTGGATTTGATCCAGGCGCGTTCGGCAGCTCGTACTTGTGCCTTGAGGGAACGGAGATGGCTGGTGTACCAGGCAAAGGCTAGAGAAGCTAGGATTATTCTCCTTGGAGCAGAGAGAGTTAAGAGTAGACTTAATAGAAGTTTTCAAAATTATGAGGGGATTTGATAGGATGAACAAGGAGAAACTATTTCCACTGGCGGGTGGGTCCGTAACCCGAGGACACCAATTTAAAATAATTGTTAAAAGAAGCAGAGGGGAGGTGAGGAGAATTTTTTCACACAGTGAGCTGTTCTGACCTGGATTGCATTGCCTGAAAGGGATGTGGAAGCCGATTCGATAACAACTTTTAAGAGAGAAGTAGGTAATCTCAAACGACATCCTCTCTATCTGTGACCAGGGCTCCCTCTGCCTCCTTGTCCTCCTGGACCTCTCCGCCGCATTCGACACAGTCGATCACGCCATCCTCCTCCACCGCCTTTCTTCCATCATCCACCTCAATGGGACCACACTCGCCTGGTTCGAGTCCTACCTCACAAACCGCCAGCAGTACATCTGCACAAACGGCTTCTCCTCCCGCTCTCACCCTGTCACCTGTGGGGTACCCCAAGGATCCATCATTGGCCCCCTCCTCTTTCTGATCTTTATGCTCCCTCTTGGGGATGTCATCCGCAGACACGGGATACACTTCCACATGTATGCGGACAACACCCAACTCTATTTTTCCACCTCACTTTACAACCCCCAGTCCCCTGATGTTCTGTCAGACCTCAGGAGCTGGATGAGCGCAAATTTCCTTCAGCTGAATGTTGACAAGACAGAAGCCATACTTTTTGGCTCTTGTCAATGTCTAAAATCTCATGGTTCTCACCTCCTCCATCAACCCGACCTCCCCCTAAAACTTCCGAACCCATACGCAACCTAGGCACCAGGTTCGATCCCTAATTATTCTTCCTCCCCCACATCCAGTCCCTCACCAGCACCGCTTTCTTCCACCTCTGACGCATTGCCCGTCTCCACCAATACCTCTCTCCAAAAGCAGCTGAAACTCTGGTCCATGCTTTTGTCACCTCTCGGCTGGACTATTCAAATTTCCTCCTCGCCGGTCTCCCCTCCACTACCATCCATAAAATCCAGATTATTCAAAACTCCGTGCCTTTGGTCACCTTCCTCCCCCTTCCCCTGGCTCGGCCCCGGGATTCATTACTGTGAAGTGCTCTGAGATGCCATCCTGCATGGAGGGCGCTATATAAATCCAAGTTGTTGTAGTAATTATTTGGGGAGGGCAAGTTTGCAGGGCTATGGGGAGAAAGCAGGGAGTGGGATTGATTTAGATAACTCTTTTAAAAGAGCCAGCACAGACATGATGGGCTGAATGGCCTCATTCTGTGCTGTATAATTTTATGATTCTATGAGAGGCAAACACAGTGCATTGGAGAGGCCCACACAGTGCATGAGATTGACACACACACGGCATGGGAGACACACACAGTACATGAGAGAGATGGGTACATGGAAGAGAGAGAGAGTATATGGGGGAGAGATGGGTACATCGGAGAGAAAAAAAATTACATCTACATAGCATCTGTCACATCAGAAGGATATCCTAAGGCATGGACAGTTAAGGGTTTGCACATAAACTGGGGGTTGGAATCAAGAAGGATGGAGGGTAGGGTGGATTGGAGGGTAGGGGGGATTGGAGGGTGGCCCTAAGTCATGGTCAGACAAAATGTGGGAGAGGGAGAGAATGAGATGTATTTGTGGTTTTTTTTGGTCTTGCTTGTCGAACATCAAATGACTAACTTGCGACTAAATAACTAACTGCTGTGCGTAATTGGCTGTTTCACCCACAAAATAAACAGTCAATTCACTTTACAATATATTCTGTGAAGTGCTTTGAGAAGCCTCGAAGACGTGATAAGGTCCAATATCAAATGTAAGCATTACTTATGTGACTATTTTCGGAGGGTGGCAAGGTAAGTAAGCAGGGTCTCCTTGGAAACAGAACTGGCTTTAAGGTGACATAAAACACAAAATACTGCAAATGCTGGAAATCTGAAAACAAAAACAGAAGTCGCTGGGAACAGTCAGCAGGTTGGACAGCATCTATGGAGAAAGGAAAGTGAGTCAATGTTTCGGTTCCACGACCCTTTGTCAGAACTGGGACATGTTGGGGTAGTTCCTTTCTCCATAGATGCTGCCTGACTGACTGACTGTTCCATTTCAGACCATAACAGCTCACCTTTCCCCTCCCCCTCTCTTGTGACGACTATTACCACATCATCTTGGTCCCAGACATAACTTTTCTCTCCCTGTTTTGGTGTAAGTTCTTTTCCTCTCCCCTCCCCATCTTTCTTCTGCAGTATTAACATCTCTATTCCCCTGCTTTGTAGCAATCCCCCACTTTGTTCTGCATCATTAACACCACTGTAACCCATCATCTCCTGTCTTCTAACCCATTTTCTCCTTTGTCTTCCTTGCCCTGCTTCCCCCTCTCTGTTAGCCCTTAAAAGCCTCTTCCACCCAACATGCCCCAGTTCTGACGAAGGGTCATGGACCCGAAATGTTGACTCACTTTCCTTTCTCCATAGATGCTGTCTGACCTGCTGAGTGTTCCCAGCAACTTCTGATACTGTAAAGTCAATTAACTATATTTTGTGGGCGAAACGCGGCCGCCAATTGCACACAGCAGTGTCCCACACGCAGTCGTTGATTGATTGAACAAATGTTTTTTTAAGAAATTATTATCCCCAGAATTACCTACCAATTGACTAACAGCCAGGTTCTGATTTACTGCAAGGTAAACAGCAGCATGTGGAGTTAGGAAACCTGTCTAAGATTTCACTCTGCCCAGGAATCGAACCCGAGTCCTCTTGCTTGCAAGACGAATGTGCTAACTAAATTACAGGCCTCCACAATCTAGAAGTTAAAGAGAGGTTCTTGTGTTTCATTGATAGTTTATTTTCTAGAAGAACCTATAAAGCCGCCACAGTAATGTCAGGACATGTATTCAGAGTTCAAGAATGTATGAAAACAGATATATGAAATCAGTTTATGTACATTGCATAGCCCATAAAGTCAAACTTGTTCTTGTGCATAGTTGTAAAGTCAATTGTACTACTGTAGGATTTTTCAATGTGATTGTGAAATTTTGTAAACTTTAAAACTTTAAAATGCTTATATTGGAAAGTTCAGATGGCAAAGCAGGAACCTGAACGCATGAATGCAATTGTTAAATCTAATGGTGTGTGTCAATCTGATAAGTTAGAAATAATGTGAACCAAAATAAGATTGAAGTAATATCAGACTGAAATACAGGAATGTGTGATATAAGAATAGAATCCTTATACAGTTAAACCTCAGCTAGCCGGACTAACAGGGAGAGATCCCATCAAGCAACATGACACCTTTATATAATCTGATATTAACAGTGACCCCTCTATATGAAGTAAACACCTGATCACTCATCACTCCGGGGTTAAAAGGGCTCATTGACAAGCTATTGGGAGTTACCATGCGCAGAATCCAACTGATCCAAAACTGCCACATGCACGTTCACCTGCACTAAACTCCGCACCCACATCACACCAGCTCCAGCCAGGTTTCAAAGGCTCCCTGTCGCCGAATGGATCGATTTCAAGATCCTCACAATCGTTTTCAAATCCCTTCGTGCCCTGGCGCCTCCCTACTTCTGTGACCTGCTAACCCGCTCTCCCCCGCCAACCCACAACCCGCCGCCTCCGCCCGACTGGCTCTCCAGCCTTCTGCGCTGCACGTCACTGTAGCCCCTGAAACCCAGGAACAATCTGCTTCTGTCCATCCGTCTTGTACCCTCCTTCTGCATCTTCAGTTCACGGCTGAGGTGTTGCTATTATACCGTGGCTATGGTCGCCTCCCGCTGCCCCAGCTCGTGCTCAGCCACTGTCAAGCGCTCTGGGACGCTATCCTGCGTGAGGGGTGCTATTTAAATGCAGGCTGGTGGTGGTGGTTGGTTAAGGGGGCGCTGTGTCTGGAGAGGGTGCGATGCAGCAGCAATCTGCACAGAGAGGCCCAGTCACCGCCGCCGCTCCACATCACACCTGACACCGCGGAGCAGCCGCTGCACACCAGTGCGCATGTGCGCGCTGACGGAAACTGCGCAGGTCCGGGACCGGAAGTGTGTCGGGTGGCGCCGCGGTCATCATGGCGGGGATTAAAGGTGAGCCACAGCACCGGGAGTAACCCGGGGACACCCCGACACACCGGGAGGAACCCGGGAATAACCCGGGAGGGCTGTCAGGAGCAGGCGGGCAGGCAGTGGCCCGGGATTACCCGGGGACACTGGGGACACTCAGGCCGCCTTTAGCCTTTGTGAGAGGATATATAACTATACATTATATAATGTATAAATGTCGGTGGTTTTCAGCCCCTCGACCTTCTCTGGAGATTGTCTGTCAGAAATGCTTTCTTCATCAGGTTAACATAGTGTAAGACGATGCAAGTCAGGTCCAGTGTTTAATAATAATAACAACAATAATCCTTGATTTGATGCAGCGCCTTATCACATCGCAAAGCACGTCACAGAATATACTGTAAAGTGAATTGTTTGTATATTTTGTGGCCGAAATACAATTTGAATATTTGAATACAATCTGTCATTATTTAGAAGGTGGGTATCTGGATACTTGGATCTTTGATTAACCAGAACTTTGTTTTGCACCTCACTGTTAATCAAAATGTGACAGTTAAGACGCTTTGTGTTTGTATATTCTAGAGAGAATTGGATAACTTCTGTGCCGAGCGCAGTTGGTCAGCCTCTTGGTTGCCTCTGATTCAGAAGATTGTGGGTTCAACGTCAGGACTTTGAACTCATATAGTCTCGGCTGACCTGCATTTTTGGAAGTGCTATCTTTCAGATCAGATGTTAAACTGAAGTCTTGTCTGCTTGTTCAGGTGCTCATAAAGATCCCATAGTATTATTTCAAAAGAGAAGGGAGTTTCTCCTGGTATTCTGGCCAGCAATCCCCTCCGCCCCAAAAAAAGAACATTCACTTCATGGCTGTTTCTGGGACAATGTTTAGGCAAATTGGCTGCCAATTTGCACTCCCGAGATGCTACTCCACATGAATGGGGCTATGTGCATGCAAGTTGTTGCTGCCGTGCTTGCCTATAAATTAACAATATATAATAATCCTTGCATTTGACATAGTACCTTTACAATAACTGCACTTTACAGTATCCTGTGAAGCACTTTTTGACTTCCTCCCTGCATAAAATACTCTATATCAAATGCAAGGATTATTATTATTTAGCAATTAATTGATTTGAGAGCCATGAGAGGGATAGCATTGGTAATTTTTAAACTCTGTTTTATTATTTTACTGTAATTATCTTTTCTGATTTTGTACATTCTGTTCGAAGAAATCAATCTAAACAACTTCCCAGTGCCAAATGTTTTAACCCTGAATGTCTGGAATAATGCTGTTAGTATAGATTTACTTTACTTTTTTATTAAAACAAGCACAAAACAAAATTTGTGATTAGGTTTAAGAACAAACAAAAAGGATGTTGACGTCATCCTTGAGTCTTAAAAACACTTAACATTTAAATTTTCAGCATTGTACTTTGAAATGTGGAACAAAGAACTACATTATTGGAGATTTTGTTTGGATTAAAAGATCAGTCAAGAACCAATAAATTATAATAATAATAATACTTGCATTTGATGTAGCACCTTACTACGTCATTGCGATGTCTCAGAATATATTGTAAAATAAATTGAGGGTGTATTTTGTGGGTGAAATGCGGCACCCAGTTGCGCACAGCAGTGTCCCATAATCAGTTGTGGATTGAGAGATTATTACCCCAGGAAAGCAATCCACAATTGATTAACAGCGGACTCCAGACATTCACAAACATCTTTGGGTTGTCAATCAGTGAGGAGGAACGGGGAAGAAACAAGAGAGGGAATGGGAGGATTAATTGACAGCTGAGCCGCTTGTGAATAGGTGGAGCCCATCCATTCACAAGCGGTTCCAGGCTGTCAACGCTAATTGGTCTCCTTCCCGTCCAATGGGAATAGCAATCGGAGGAAGCGTGCGCCACCACTGCGCCTTTGGTGAGCGGGAAGAGGTAAAGAAACTTTGGTTAGCTTCGGATGCCTCTTAAAAGGCACAAACCGTCTGGCCCCAATGTGTCTGACTTAACCGGCTTAACAATGTATATTATATTGAACAACAACAACAACAAGATTCCATTTATTGAGCGCCTTTCACGTCGGGAGGACGTCCCAAGGCGCTGTACAGTTAGGTCAGGACCCGAGCAGGGGGGAAATGGTCAGGGTGAGGGGAGGGAAGGGAGGGAGCGAGGAGGGGGTAGAGAGTCGAAAGGGGAGGTGAAGGCTCGGTCAAAGAGAAAGGTCTTGAGACTGGCCTTGAAGGAGGAAAGGGAGGAGGCGGCGAAGGCACTGGGGGATGGAGTTCCAGAGCCTAGGGGCTGAGAGGCCCCTAGTAGATAGGTAGTTTGTTTGTCAAAGTATATATCCTATTTGTGCAGTGAACTGCAGTTCTGTATATAGCTGGAAAAAGATCCAAATCACTAATAGTATTATCACTTTAAGATGATTTGATCCCCCAATTCTTGATCAATTTTACACTCCCTTAAACCGTACTACACAATTCGTCTGATATTGTTCTGTTTCTCGTTAGCTGCTTTATGTAGAGAATTTTGGAGTGATTTCAAGGTAGTAATAAAATCACAAGGTTCAAATCACATTCTGAACCACAAAGAACTAAGCAATGTTTTACTGGTTCCATATGAAGTCTGTGATAAATGTATTGATCAGAGATTATATGTCCTATAAATTTCTTAGGGTGGTTTTATTTTGTTTTCCCATTGTCCTGTAATTGTCTATGTAATTCTGTGAGAGCCTCACTAAAGGAGTTATGATTGTTGCATAATTATCCTGTTTTGTAAAAAAAGAACATTCAGTGATTCAAGGGAAATGATGCATGTATAAGTTAGCACGCTTAGAGGTCACAGGTTAAGTAATCTTTTGTGTTTTTTTACCTGTTTCAGCTCTGATCAGTCTCTCCTTTGGCGGAGCCATTGGATTGATGTTTCTTACGCTTGGATGTGCCCTTCCAGAGTATAAGTAAGTTAAAAAGAATAACTTTTATTCAACTCAACATAGGTTTACCAGTTTTCTATATTAAAGAAAAACTTACTAGGCTTTTAATCACTGACTGGCTTTCACTTTAATGATAGTGGTATTGTTAACAGTTACTTTTAAGTTATTCAAAAAAAGAAATCGCTGGGAACACTCAGCAGGTCAGGCAGCATCTATGGAGAAAGGAAAGTGGGTCAACGACCCTTCGTCAGACACTTCGTAAGTTCTGACGTTCCCAGCGACTTCTGTTTTTGTTTTAGATTTCCAGCATCTGCAGTATTTTGGGTTTTGTTTACACTGTTATTGTTGTTTTCCATAACTAAAGATAAAAATACTAGGAGTGAAATATTTCAGTAATATAACTACATTCCAAATTTATTCTTAACAACAACAACAACAAGATTCCATTTATTGAGCGCCTTTCACGTCGGGAGGACGTCCCAAGGCGCTGTACAGTTGGGTCAGGACCCGAGCAGTGGGGAAATGGTCAGGGTGAGGGGAGGGAAGGGAGTGAGCGAGGAGGGGGTAGAGAGTCGAGAGGGGAGCTGAAGGCACGGTCAAAGAGTTAACTGGAAATTAAGAAATTCGAGTAAATTTATGAGACTGGGGTTCATAAGTGAATGATTTGTTTTCGGCAGCCTGCAGTGTGAGACAGTGCTGGAGCCAGGTGAAGTTGCGGAGGTGGGGGAAGGCAGAGCGGATCATGGAGCGAATGTAGGGTAGAAAGGATAGTTGAGGGTCGAACAAGACTCCAAGGTTCCAGACTGGCTTAGCAAGGTGGAGTGTGCAACCATGGATGGTGACGCTGTCAGCGCCTGAGGTGAGGAGGCGCTGACGGGAGCCAATCAGCAGAGCCTCTTTATTGACGTTCTTGTTGACGTTCAACTGTAGAAAGTTAGCTCTCATCCAGGACTTGATGTCTGAGACCTTCTGTCAGCACAGCAGTGGTACCGGAATCAAGGGTGGAGGCAGAGAGGTAGAGTTGGGTGTAATCCGCATACATGTGGAAGTTGACGCCATGTCTGCGGATGTAGACATATATTTGTGGGCGAAACGCAGCAGTCAATTGAGCACAGCAGTGTCCCACAAACAATCGTGGATTGAAAATGACCAATTTATTATTGTTTTGTTTTGGAGGGATTATTATCAGCCATGTGGAGTAAGGAAACTTGCTCTAGGTTTAGCACTGCCTGGAATTGAACCCAGGTGTCTCGCTTGCAAAGCGAGTGCTCTAACCACTGAGCTCCAGGACTCCCATGAATACCGCGGAGCCACCTGTTTCAGGAACCAGACTGGGAGCATCACAGGGGGCTGACTAGATTCCGACATTCCGTTGCCAAACAGGTCACCTTAGAGCCAGTTCAGCTCCAAGGAGACCTCACTTACTTCCCCCCCCCCACCCCCCCCGAGGATAGTTACCAGTTGGTCTTTCAAAGAGTTGTGATATCATGTTGACTCCTCAACTAATCCGTTCATACCACTTCCTGGAAGCCTGTTCAGTCCATAGAAGTTTCTATGAACATATTTCCTTTTATTTCCCTACAAATTGCCTAATACTTTCTGGAATTAGGTAAGCAGTATGTGTCCTGCCAAGGAGAGAGTGCGCATTCCATTCAACCATCTCTCTCTTGGATTTCCATGTGTAGGTGGGATGCATGGAATTTTCAGCTTGGTTTGGATAGTTTTAAGCATTGGGTCAGACACCCGGCTGACAAAAGACAAAAGAAAATCACAGCTCCTTTTAAGTTGAGGAGGAGAAAGCAAGCCAGGTCAGCTCATGATCATTGTCCAGTGATTCTCACTGGATGAAGTTTTATGTGGATATTATGTTAGGACCAGATCAAGCTAGGCTCGGTTGCAGCTTGTCAAGGCTTGTGCATCAATGACTATCACTTGTATATCTGGCCCACTGTACCTCAAAAAGGAGTCAAGCAGCTGCTGAAGAGGCGAAAGTATGGGGAAGGTGTTAATTTCATTTTTCAGACATGCTATTTTCTTTCTACCCTTTTCTCTTACAGCAAATACTGGCCATTGTTTGTCCTTTTCTTTTACATTCTCTCTCCAATCCCATACTGCATATCAAGCAGAACAGTGGATGATACTGATGCAGCAAGCAGTGCGTGTAAAGAACTTGCCATATTTCTTACGACAGGCATTGTTGTTTCTGCTTTTGCGCTACCTCTAATATTTGCCAGAGCAACAGTGGTGAGTATGATAATCCTGACACTGCATGAATGGATCAAAAGTTTAATGATTAATGATAAAAGTAATCTTAATAATGTCTTTACCAACNAAAAACATGTTTTCATAGTTAATGTGAGAATAGGTTTAATTTTAAAATATTTCTGAAATAGTCAACCAATTTCTTCTAGTTGAATGATGCGTTCTTTTATCTTTAAATTTATGTTCAGTTTTGCACTGCAACATTTTGTAAACCCTTTTATCTATATAAATTTTGTATACACTTTGTTTGATAGTCAGCAGCCCCATAAATGAACTCTTATGATCTTATTCTGTCCATTGCGATCTTACTGTGTTTACTTATTTTTCTCTGTCCTTGAAGAACAATGTGATTTATCAATTGTCCTGCATCTGCTTGTCATACACTAAAGGAGTCTTTTTCAAAATGGCGGGTATTGCAACATGAATCAGTGTTAACTCTTAATTTTATTTGCAAAAGATTGGAATTAGACAGCAAAGAAAATGTTTCTACACATTGAGAATTCTCCTGGAAGGGGGGATTGAGGGGATAAATTGGGGTTTCTTTGGAGGTTATCTGTTTTCAAGGTGATGTGCTAAGCAGTGAATTGCTGGAATTGAATCAATCAATCATCTGCAGTGGCCCAGTTCCTGAGCCTGCTGGGTCAGCAGTATTCCAGGACTCTGCTGATGACAGACCAGCCAGCCTGACTCATTGGCAGGATAATAGTAGTGACAGACCCTATTTTGCAGGCCAGAGTGCTAACCGGTAGGGTGGTCCTAGTTTGATAAACAACAGGAAGCTTGTCAGATAGTGCTCTCAATGAGTAGATATGTGTTTTAGCTGGTTAAACTCCAGCCGTACTACAACGTACACTCTGGGGTCCTGAAGCCTTGAAATTTGTCAACCTGCATCTAATACAACAACACCAACAAACAACAAAATTACATTTATAGAATACCTTTCACATCGGGAGGACGTCCCAAAGCGCTGAACAGCCAGGTGTCGGTGCCCGAGCATGGGGAAGGGGCGATGTAGGGGTGAGGGAAGGCGGAGAGGTGGGAGGACGACCAAAGGCACGATCGAAGAGAAGGATCTTGAGACTGGCCTTGAAGGAGGCAAGGGAGGAAGCGAGGCGAAGGGACTGTGGGATGGAGTTCCAGAGTGCGGGGGCAGAGAGGCTGAAAGCCCGACACCGATGGTAGGGCAGGTCGAGCGGGAGACATGAAACAGGCCGGAGCCCAATGAACGAAGGGAGTGGGCAGGTTGGTAGGGAGTCAGCTGGTCAGAGAGGTAGGAGGGGGCAAGGCCATGGATGGCCTTAAAAGTGAGGGCAATGATCTTGAACTCGATCCTCCATGGGATGGGAACCAGTGGAGTCAGGCGAGGGTGGGAGTGATGGGGTCGCGGAGCCTGGTGCGTGAGAGTACACGAGCTGCAGAGTTTTGGGTGATCTGCAGCTTTTGAAGGGAAGAGTTGGGAAGGCCGATGAGGAGGGAGTTCCCGTAATCGAGCTTTGATGGGATGAATGTGTGGGTGAGGGTTTCGGCAGCCTGAGGGGTGAGGCAGTGGCGGAGACTGACAATGTTGCGGAGGTGGTGGTAGGTAGTGCCGTTCATGGCGCAGATGTGGGGGAGAAAGGACAGTTCAGGGTCAAACAAGACACCCAGGTTCCTGACTGGTTTAGTGAGGTGAGTGTGCAGCCGTGGGCTGATGCTGCCAGCGCCTGAGGTGCGGAGGTGCTGGCGTGAGCCAATCAGGAGGGCCTCAGTCGTGCTGACGTTGAGTTGGAGAGAGTTGGCCCTCGTCCAGGATTAGGTAAATAGAATGCATCCCTCCAGAGTGAGAGTTGGATTCCATTCCAGATGCTTGTGTGGGTGACACACATATGTGGATCACTGGCTGGATTAAGCATGGTGATGGACTTCCACATTTATCAGACATCCAGCTGACCAAAAAAAATAAATACAAGCAGAATACTGAAGAGCATATTCTCTTCACTGAGCTTGGATTCACCAAGAACTCTACAGCCTGTGTCCTCTCCCACACCAGGCTCCGTGACCCTATCACCCCCATCCTTGCCCGACTCCACTGGCTTCCCATCACACAGAGGATAAAGTTTAAGATCCTGGTCCTTACCTTCAAAGCCCTCCATGGTCTTACTCCCCCCCTACCTCTGCGACCTCCTAACCCCCTATCATCCTGCTTGCTCCCTTCGCGCAGTGGGCTCCGGCCTGTTTCATATTCCCGCCGTGTCGCTCCCACTCTGCCCCCACCCTCTGGATCTCCATCCCGCAGTCCCTTTGCCTCGCCCCTTCCCTTGCCTCCTTCAAGACCCATCTCAAGACCATCCTCCTCGAACGTGCTTTCAATCTCCCTGCTTCTCCCCACACCCTCCCCGACCCCGACCCCCAGCTCAGGTCTGAAACTCTGTCCAGTGCCTTGGGACGTCTTCCCGGCGTGCAAGGTACTATACAACTGTAATTTTGTTGTTGTTGTTCGATCTTCTCAAGTAAACAATTTCAGCAGTTGAGCAGCTTATTTTACATTCAGCCCAATGTTTTTGGCAGAAAAAGGATCCTGGACTCTTTCTTTTCAGTTATAATGTGGTGGTTTTAAGGACACAAATCCTTCTTAGTCAGCAGTAGCTGGTGGGAACTAGTCTGTACATATTATTTAAAGAGAAATTAAGGGCAACAAAGGTTTCCTTTGGACCAGAGAGCAGGAAATATTCTGGGTATGTCATTGTTTCCAAAAGTGGAATACACCTTATCACGTACTTAGAACCATTTCTATAAAAGGGAAAAAAAATGTTTCCCCTCAGTTCTGTTTAGGGAAGCTACAAATGTGTCATCCAGCAAATCCTATGAACCAGAGTTTTCAGCCTGTAATACTAAAACCCAATCAGAGCCATTACATGTTATTTTTGTCTAATTGAGTTTCGTAGCATTTATTAAAACTTTGCCATCAGACCAATTCTTGAATGTCTGTGCAGTAAGGAGTAACAAGTTTCAGCAAAATGCTAATTGAGCATTTCTGGGCTGCTGGCAACACCCGTTTCTTCTTGTAAAGTTACTTTGTTAGAGTGCTCCAGTTTAACTTGCTAGCATGATAACGTATCTGTTAAATAATAATAATACATGCATTTGATATAGCGCTTTATCATGTCTTCGAGATGTCTCAAAGCACTTCACAGAATATACTGTAAAGTGAATTGACTGTATATTTTTATGGGCGAAACGCGGCAGTGAAATTGCACACAGCAGTGTCCCACAAACAGTCGTGGATTGAAGTGACCAATTTATTATTATTTTTTGAAGAAATTATTATCCCCGGAAAAGCGATCTGCCAATCAACTAACAATCGGGTTCCTACTTACTGCTAGTTAAACAGGCGTGTGGAGTAAGGAAACTTGTCCTACATTTCGCCCTGCCGAGAATCGAACCCAGGTCTTTCGCTTGCGAGGCGAATGCTCTAACCACTGAGCTGCAGGACAACCACTGTTCTCAGACTCTATTACACAGTGGGTGCTTCTGGAAACCATATGTAATCTAGGCATGTTCCCAAGTACAGTAATAACCCGGGAAGATTGCTTATAAGTCAGCATTAGTCTGTTAGCATTTGGACAGACTCTGCTAGTTATCAGATTATAGTCAAAGGGGGCAAATGCATTCTTGGTCCTTATGCATGGAAAATCTACATCTGACATTGAAATAGAGAGCACCAAATCACTCTACTCGAAGCAAACTAAATTAGGCTCAGTACCTCCATACTTAAGGAACCAGTACTCAGTCATTTTGTCAATTTTATTAAAATGTTTCAAAATTGCTGATCCAATTTTTTTTCAGTGATTGTGTTTTTCCAATTAATTGATGTTGATTTCTAGCTATTCTATTTGACTCTTGATTTATGTGAAAGTTTGGTAGAAACTTATTCTTATTGATCAGAATAGTTTGTTCAAAGTTATTGAGGTATTACAGGTGAGTTATGCCAAAGAATTTCTTTCTAACCTAGTATTATTTATTTCAGATTCAATGGGGAGCATGTGCACTAGTGCTAACAGGAAATGTCATAATCTTTGCAACCATTCTGGGATTTATTCTGGTTTTTGGCACGAATGACGAGTTCAGCTGGCAGCAGTGGTGAGATATGTACGATAATCATCAGTGAGTAAGCCTGCTTCAGGCTGCAGAATCCATTTAATGTATCTATCATCCAGCTGAAGAACAACAGTGCAATAATATCAAGTACTGAGTACAGCATTGGAGGCACTCAAGTCTTTGTTTTCAGTGGCATATGTCCATTTGTATAAACATTTGTTAAAGAGATTGCATCCCTTTTGTTAGCCTACAAAATCACTTACAAACATTAAAAATTTTAGGATGCATTTAACCCTGGCAAACTATTTAAGAGAGTCCCTATTGCTGCAGCAGTACCGATACCTCTGTCTTGACAGAAGTGACTAAGGTTGGATGGAACATTATATGAAAACTAGTAAGTTTGATTTTCTATATTTTTAAATCCTTGCATTTTACTTGAATCAGCTTTGGCTTGAAGCTTGTATAAACAAGACACGGGATACAGTCTCTTTTAAAATAATTTGCTACCTTTTATGTTCTAATTTACAGAATAAATGGCATTGCTTTAGAAATGTAGTAGATCTTTTGTGGTAAGTCTTTGAGTGGGATGTTTAGATAGTGTGGTGCCATGTTTTATTGCACTTAGTTTTACTGTGTGTTTGTTGTAAAAGAAAGGTCAGCATAAAATCAGGAAAGTGTGTACACAGGGGTATGCTTACATTTGGGAGTAGTAACATTTTAAATTTTGGGTTGTCCTTTATTAGTTAAAACTAGATTTTGTTTTTGTATTTTCCATCATTTAAAGTAACATTTATTAAAATGTCTGAGATCACTATTTGTGTGCTTTGTTCTAGTTTTTTTAAAACAATCTCTTGTGTTGCTGTATGTACTAAAATATGAGAACAGTCCATTAAACGTGAGAAAAGTGAAGATTTTGAAGCTTTATAAATTTGTTAAAATATAATGTTTTAGAAAAGTTGAATGTGTTTAATAGTTTATTTTTTTAAACAAGAAATATAGAAATACATTTATATAATGCCTTTCATGCCAGGAGGACATCCCAAGATGCTTCATATTTAATTTTTGCTAAAGTGTATGTTGTCAAAAATTGTGCAAAGTTTAGTCATTGCTCTCTTTATTCATAATATATTAATCTAGGTAATTGCCCTCAATTTCTCTGCAACTCTGTTTGATTTATTTGTTGTTACCTGCTGCATAAAAAAGCACATGTTTAGCATTTATTCACTCTTGCTGTCATTGGATACTAAAAAGGAATAATCTAACAGTAGAAATACGACTAGATGATTTTCAGTGTGTACTGCAACATTCACACTGGCTAACATACTTGGCAGTATACTAATCTGACAAATTGGAACACTTACATCCTGATTACACATTCTGTACCCCTTTTCACCCTGCGCCTATAGCCGGCAATGGGTTAAACCCTGACAAACACATCACCAAATCCTGCACTCATCTCCAAAGGAATGAGAGTCACCGCCATCAGTGCTAATTGAGATGGAATATGTTGCAATTAACTTTTAATTATTATGGGAATATTTGAAGGTCTTATTGTGCTTCATTCAGTGTCTAAGAATATGTCTAATTCAAATAATGGGTCATTGTAACAGCAAAAAATGCCTACCCTGGTGTTATTCCTGATTGCAAAGAAGGCTTTCAACTGGATGATGAGGTCAACCTATTCCCTGTACTTGAGTTGATGCACTTCAGCAAAACATTCAAGCAATAGATGAATATTCTGTATTCCCACTTATCTTTCTTAGTGAGTATCAATATCCTTACATAACCACCATCCCATTGACCATGTTCCCTCCTCCCTATCCTCTCAACCTTTCTATGGAAGCACCAGCTGCAGTTCACGTCTGTAGTCCATGATGGTGGATGTTCTCCCACATGTCACCATCCCTCCTCCCCCTTTCCCAGCATCTTTCAAACTACTGTCAGTCTCTCAGGCTACGCAGCAGAATGTATGGGTTTTTCCCACTGCTTAACTCAACAAACATGGCATAAAATAATCAATATTCAAACAAAAAACTGTATTTTGTGGCCGACCAAAAAGGTTGGCCACCATTGCAATAGAGGACGGGCAGAATGGAGAAGCTTGTTAGAAAAAGCATGTGGTGAGAATGAGATTTTAACTTGCTTGGAGGAGAGGAATAATAATGCAAGTAGAAAAATCAACTTATTTTTTTCCTACAAAGGCATGTCAATATCAACAAAGAAACAGGCTATACTAAGATATATTTTAATATCTATCTTGAGTTTGAAGAACCAAAGTTTGAAGGCTTGAGTTAGCATCAAAAGAACACACCCATTGGCGGGTGTGCTTTCATCCATTATACCCCCAAACTATGGAGCTCTGCCTCAATCTCTACCTTTCCTCCTCCCTGCCCATCTTCAGATTATACCTGAAGACCCTTCTACGGCACCTATGGTCACCTCCCCCGATTCCCAGCTCAAAATCAAGCTCTACCACTGTAGGTGTTCCAAGATGCTACCCCAAGTGAAGGGCGTTGTATAAATAATAATAATAATCATTGAATTTGACATGGCACCTTATCACGTCTTTGAGACATCTCAAAGCAATCGCAGGATACACTGAAGTATAGTGATTGCGTATTTTATGGGCGAAATGCCACAGCCAATTGTGCACAGCAGTGTCCCACAAACAGTCACGCAAAGAGTGACCACATTTTTAAAAATTTATTTATAGGGGGCAGAGTGAGTGTAACACATGAAGTGACTGGGGAACAGAATAAATAACAACAAATAACTACAGGCTGGGAGGAGGTCCCAAGGTGTTATATATAATATACACACATATACTGTATATATTATAGGTATATATTATAAATATTATAAATGCAAGTTGTTGATGTGACATTCTACATTCCCACCACCCTTTGTGTGAAGCAGTGTTTTTTTGTTGGTGTGCAGTTCCACAGGCATAGGGCACCTTCCAGTATTTTGTCCAAATGTCTGGCTCAGGAAGTGTCACCTTGGCTCAGGACGTGCCAGTGTTAGAAAATAAAATCAGCCATAATCCGTTTACATATCAGACTGTTTTATTATTATTCGTTCGTTATTCCCCAATATCCCGATGGGTCAGACCAAAGGCCGGTACAATCAACAGATCTTATAACAGAATAAAACCACCGTAGATATCTCGAGTTCAACACTGTGTCTTTACAGCACACAAGCTTGATTCTTCATGCTTTCAGTCTTCTTGCTTACAGCTTTCAATCTTCCATCTGATATCCTCAGTCTTAGTGTTTCTGGCTCTCAGTCTTCCATCTCCCTTACCCTTGTTTCCGCGACCCGGGACAGCCCCATCTCCCGTACCCTTGTCTCCGCGACCCGGGACGGCCCCATCTTCCGTACCCTTGTCTCCGCGACCCGGGATGGCCCCGTTCACAAAGTTAACGGAACTCTAATACCGATGTTCGTCCAATCATGGTGCGGACATTAGATCACCCGGTCGAAATCATGCTGGGTTCACGTGAACACGTCATGGGGTGTACGTGCCTCAGCACACACACACATCTGGTGCTCATTATTTTGTGGTGTGGGATCATTAGTGCATTCCTTTTAAGTGACTGGTTATTTCTTATCAGTATCCTGGGATGGTACCGAGGTCCTCTGGTTTAAGCAACTTGCTCGTTAGCTGCTATTCTTGAGTGTTGCCTTCTGTCGGTTGGCCCTGTCAGAATCTAGCGACTTATTGCTTAGTCGAGATCCTGTGTCGACTGGTACCTTGGACCGTTACCTCTGTGGGCTTGTTGTCATTTACTGATAAGAGGTGACCTTCTGCCCTTTTCCAAAGCTGTCCGTTATTCTTTCAAAAACAGAAAACCAGATGTGTCCTATCCCATGACAGTCAGTCCAGTTGCCCCCCCACACTTAACTTAAAAGTTAACCCGTTCGCAACATCTATTATGATTCCAACATAATCCAAAAAGTGTAAATTCTAACACCAGTTTGGCTCGGTTTGTGTCAGGTTGGCTCAGTATGTGTCAGGTTGACTCACAATGAATCAGCTTGACTCACTATGAATCAGGTTGGCTTTGTGTTCACCTGGCTCAGGACATGTTATCTTACCAGTGTAAAGGGGAAACAATAGCATGGAAGGAGGGCTCCGTCCTACACTGACCTATTGCTGAGAAATCTGGAGAAGCATGTCTTATTTACCTTCACCCGAGGATTGTGCAGTTGCTATTGAGTAGACCTGCTGCATTGGACTTTAGAACAAGGGTGAGCAATTATTTTGGCTGGTGGGCCACTTCACGAGTTTCCATAGATTCATAGAATGTTACAGCACAGAAGGAGGCCATTCAGCCCATCGAGTCTGTGCCGGCTCTTTGACAGAGCAAGTCACTTTCACTAACCCCAATCACCAGCTTTCTCCCCATAACCCTGCTAACCCATCTTCCCCAGATACTTATCCAGTTCTCTTAAAAGCTGTTATCGAATCGGACTTCACTGCCCTTTCGGGCAGATCATTCCAAATTCGAACAACTCGCTGAGTGAAAACATTTCTTCTAACCTCCCCTCTGCTTCTTTTGGTAGATATCTTAAGACTGTGACCATGAGTCACAGACACACCTACCAGCGGAAACAGCTTTTCCCTATCTAGCCTGTCGAAACCTTTCATGATCTTGAAGACCTCTATCAGGTCCCCACGTAACCTTCTCTGCTCTAATGGGAAAAGTCCTAACTTTTCCAGCCTGTCCTCATAGCTAAGGTTCCCCATTCCTGGTATCATTCTCGTGAATCTCCTCTGCACCCTTTCCAGTGCCTTAATGTCCTTCCTGAAGTAAGGTGCCCAGAACTGGACGCAGTACTCCAGCTGAGGCCTAACCAGTGTTTTGTACAGATTAACCATAACCTCCCTACTCTTATACTCTATGCCCCTACTAATAAAGCTCAGTACACCAAATGCCTTTTTTACTGCCTTATCTACCTGCCCCGCTACCTTTAATGATTCGCTTACTTGAACACCCAGATCTCTCTGTACGTTCACCCCCTTAAGATTGAGCTACCAAGTCTATATTGCCTCCTATCATTTTTCCTACCTAAGTGTATCACCTCACACTTATCCACATTGAAATCCATCTGCCACATGTCAGCCCATTCCACCATTCTGTGTATGTCTGCTTGCAGTTGGTTACAGTCCTCCTCACTATTTACTACCCTACCTAACTTTGTATCATCTGCAAACTTGGAAATAGTGCTCTCTATGCCCAAGTCCAGATCATTAATATATATTAGAAAGAGCAGTGGTCCCAATACCGATCCCTGGGGGACACCGCTGCACACCTTCCATTTCGAGAAACACCCATTAACCACCACCCTCTGCTTTCTGTCACTCAGCCAGTTCTTAATCCAAACTGCCACTGTCCCCTTAATACCGTGGGCCTCTAATTTTTTATTAATCTCTTATGCGGTACTGTGTCAAAAGCCTTTTTGAAATCCATGTAAATAACGTCCACCGCATTTCCCTCATCAACCCTCGCAGTCACCTCTTCAAAAAATTCTATTAGATTTGTTAGGCAAGATTTGCCTTTAACAAATCCATGTTGGCTGTCTCTAATTACCTCGTGTTCCTCTAAGTAGAGATTTATTCTGTCCCGGATTATGGTCTCCAGTAGTTTTCCTATTACCGAAGTTAGGCTGACTGGCCTGTAATTTCCGGGTTTGTCTTTCTGCCCCTTTTTGTAGAGGGGGTAACATTAGCCACTCTCCAGTCTCTTGGCACCACTCCTGTGTCCAATGAAGATTGAAATATAATGGCCAAAGCCTCCGCTATTTGAACCCGTATCTCCCACAGCAACCTTGGGTGAAACCCATCTGGTCCTGGTGACTTATCAATTTTGAGCCCAGTCAATCTTTTCAGAACTTCCTCTCTGTCTATAGTAATCTGATCTATTTCCTCTACCCTCATCCAATACTGTGGCATTTGGGGCATCCGTTTCCGTTGTGAAGACAGATGCAAAGTACTCGTTCAGTACATCAGCCACCCTCTGCCTCCACAACAAGATTGCCGTCATTGTCTTTGATTGGCCCCACCCTACCTTTAACTAACCTTTTTTCCTTTATGTGCTTGTAAAATATTTTAGGATTCCCCTTTATGTTACCCGCTAACCTCTTCTCATGCGATCTTTTAGCCTGTCTTTTCACTCTTTTAAGAGCACTCCTACATTCTCTATAATGCGCTTTGCTATCCTCAGTATCTTGCATCTTCCAATTGTCGTACGCCGTCTTCGTCTTTTTCATCCTAGACAGAATATCCCTGGTCATCCAGGCTGGCTTGGTTGTCGCACATTTCCCTTTTGTGGGAATATATCTATGTAGACCTTGAGCTATCATATCTTTGAAGATCTCCCATTGCTCATAAGTCATTTTACCTGCCATTCTTACTTGCCAGTCCACCAACTTTAGGTTCCCTTTAGCCAATCAAAATTAGCCCTTTTCCAGTCAAGCATTTTCACCCTTGACTGTACTTTATCCCCGTTCATGAGGAATCTAAATCTAATAATATTATGGTCACTGTTACCTAGTGCTCCCCTACCGAAACCTGTTCAACCTGACCTATTTCATTCCCCAGGACTAGATCCAGCAATGCTTTCTTCCTCTTACACAGTTTATGAATCTTTCTCCTACCTTGCCCTTAGCACTGGTATTTTGCCAGTCTATATTGGGATAATTGAAATCCCCCATTATCACAACTCTGTTCGCCTTACATCTATCCGCGATGGTTGCAGATCTGCTCCTCTATCTCCCTCCGGCTGTCTGGTGGTCTATTGTAAACCCCTATCAGTGTAACCACTCCTTTCTTATTTCTTTAACCAGATGGATTCTGTTGTCGGGCCCTCCAGAGCCTCTTTCCTTTCTACAGCTATAATTGTATCCTTAACTAATATTGCCAACCCTCCTCCTTTTCTTCCTTCTCTATCCTTCCTGAACACATTATATCCTGGAATATTTAACTCCCACCCTTCGCGGGCCACAAACTTCATAATAGCTCAAAATCAAGTCTTAAACTTGTACATGCATAAAATAAAATTGTACATGCATAAAATGCAATTGCAGCAAAATGCTGCAAGATGGTCATAAGTCATCACAGATCTATGTTTTGATTTATTGAATTTCATCACAGAAATGTCTCCTTGCATATGTATGTTGATCCAAACAGCACAAGAATCCTCCGGGCATGAGCCTTTATTTTTGGAAAGGTTTATTCATTAAGAGAGGCGTAAAAACTGGGAAGCGGCACTGATTTGAATTGCTCCACAAGCAATGGATCACATTGCAGGTCAATAAGCTCGAGTTGGAGGTCAAAATGGGGCTTTGTCAACATCAAATGAGAAAGATGAAGAGATCAAAGACAGGTCATTTTCGATCAAATTGAAATCCTGGAATCGGTGAGAAAATTCGTTATGTAACTCAAGTAGTGACAAAGTATACTTTTTAAGGCTTTGATCGCAAACAGTAATCTGCTGCAAAGTTGGAAAGTGGGCGAACTGCCTGTTTCCTATCTGATACGATAAAATAAATAATTTTGTCATAAATGACTTGACACTGCAATACAAATCGTGCACAAAGGCCCCCTTCCATTGCAGTTTTGAATTCAGTTCATTCATATGGTCCATGATATCATGGCAAATGCTAAATCAGCGAGCCAATTCACATCATTCAAATATGGGAAATCCGAATCTTTTTGTTTCATGCCCAAAAATGAATCAATCTCTGTTCTCAGTTCCCACACTCTTTTCAAGACCTTTCCAAAACTAAGCCATTTTACATTTGTGTGATACAGAACATCCGTGTGCTCGGATTCCAATTCCTCAAGCAGAGTTACAAATTGCTGTAGTTTAATCCTCTTGCTCGAATGTAGTTAACCACTTTCGTAACTGTGTCCACGACATTGCTTAGTTTTAGAACACTCTCAGAGGACCTCTTGGTGGATAATGCAGTGTAGAAAAACAATATTCTGTTCTGGATTTGTTTCTTTGACTTGATCTTGAATTCTTTTCAGTAACCCAACATTTTTGCCTGTCAGATTTGAGCTTCCATCAGTGGTCACATTCACCAATTTTTTCCACTCCACTCCTAATTTTAAGACACACTTATTACTGCCTCCAAAAAGTCTTCTCCAGTTGTCGTATCTTTCATTGCCTTTATTGATGCCAATTCTTCTGTGAGCTCAAAATGTTTGGTGATATCTCGAATAAAAATTATCAACTGGACTGTGTCTTCGACATCACAACTCTCATCGAATGCCAGTGAAAAACATGCAAAATTGCTTACTTTATTTTTGTAACTGCAGATACAAGTTCTCAGAGATATTCTCAACACATCTCATAATAGTTCACCTTGACATGCTAATGTTCTCGAACTAGTTTTTCTTGTCTGGGCATAAAATCGAGGCAGAGTCAACCATACATTCCTTTATAAATTCTCCTTCAGAGAATGGTTTGCTGTTCTTGGCAATTTTGGGTGCAGTCACATAACTCACTCTTGTAATCTCATCCTGGGACGCAAATTGTTTTGTGAAAATGCTTTGCTCTTTTTGCATTTGAGCAACTATCTCATCAGCTTTCTTTCCTTTTTCTTCGGCAGAAACTTTCTTATATTTGCAAACACGTTTGCTCTCAAAATAGCGATTCAAGTTGTAGTCTTTGAGCGCTGCCACACTTTCTTTGCAAATTAAGCAGAAAGCTTTTCCACCCACACTGGTAAAAAAAAATTTGAAGTCCATTCCTTGTTGAATATACGGCCTTCTTTGATAAACTCATTTCGAATTAACAACAACAACAAGATTCCATTTATAGAGCGCCTTTCACGTCGGGAGGACGTCCCAAGGCGCTGTACAGTTAGGTCAGGACCCGAGCAGAGGGGAAATGGTCAGGGTGAGGGAAGGGAGGGAGTGAGGAGGGGGGAAATGGTCAGGGTGAGGGGAGGGAAGGGAGGGAGCGAGGAGGGGGTAGAGAGTCGAGAGGGGAGGTGAAGGCACAGTCAAAGAGAAAGGTTTTGAGACCGGCCTTGAAGGAGGAAAGGGAGGAGGCGGCGAAGGCACTGGGGGATGGAGTTCCAGAGCCTCGGGGCTGAGAGGCTGAAGGCCCGACCACCGATGGTAGGGCGGTTGGGGCGGGGGACGTGGAGCAGACCGGAGCCAGAGGAACGGAGGGTACGGGCAGGTAGGTAGGGAGATAGTAGGTCGGAGAGGTAGGAGGGAGCAAGGCCGTGAATGGCCTTGTAGGTGAGGATGAGGATCTTGAATTCGATCCTCTGGGGGATGGGGAGCCAGTGGAGGCGAGCGAGGGTGGGAGTGATGTGGTCGCGGTGTCTGGTGCGGGACAGTACACGAGCTGCAGAGTTCTGAATGACCTGCAGTGTGGAGGGAGGTGGCGGGAAGGCCGGCGAGGAGAGAGTTCCCATAGTCCAGCCTTGAGGTGATAAAGGCGTGGACCAGGGTTTCAGCCGCGTGAGGGGTGAGGTAGTGCCGTAGTCTATTCCAGGCAGAGTGAAACCTTGGGCAAGTTTCCTTACTCCACACAGAGCCTAATAATAATCCCTCCAAAAAAACAAAACATTAATAAATTGGTCATTTTCAATCTACGACTGTTTGTGGGACATTGCTGTGCGCAATTGGCTGCCGCGTTCGCCCACAAATATACAGTCAATTCACTTTACAGTGTGTTCTGTGAAGCGCTTCGGGACGTCCTCCCGACGTGAAAAGCGCTATATCAAATGCAAGCATTGTTATTATTATTATTAACAACGCCCTGTGATGTTGACGGCGATGGGGGTTGGTTGGCGATGGTCGTCGAGGTGACGACGAGGCGGTGACGGGAGACGCCCCTGTTGCTGTGCGGGGCCGCGGGGGGCGCTGTCGGTCGGCGAGGCAGAGAGAGGGGACGGACGGCGCTCGGGTCGGGTCGGGTCGGTGCGGTGCGGGGATGGAGGGCGGCAGAGGTCGGCCGGTGGGGTTGGTGGCGGTTCCCGGCCGCTCGCTGCTCGGGCTGTGCTCGGTGGTGGTGATGCTGTGCACTCTGCACCTGGTCGTCACCCTCCTGTACTATCTGGACGGCTTCGGCTACACCGCCTACATCGTGCGCTCCCTGAGCGGCGACCGCGGCCGTCCGCCGCCCAACGCCACCGCCAGCCCCCGGCCCCACGGCGGCAGCCCCGCGGCCCCCGCCCCCGCCTGTCCGGAGAGCTCCCCGCATCTGGGTAAGGCAGGGCCGGGCCGGGCCGGGCAGGGCCGACACAGCCCGAGGCCAGGGGGCGTCCATACACTGTCTATACACTGTCCATACACTGTCTATACACTGAGCACATACACTGTCCACACACTGAGCACATACACTGTCTATACACTGAGCACATACACTGTCTATACACTGAGCACATACACTGTCTATACACTGTCCACACACTGAGCACATACACTGTCCACACACTGAGCACATACACTGAGCACATACACTGTCTATACACTGAGCACATACACTGTCTATACACTGAGCACATACACTGTCTATACACTGAGCACATACACTGTCTATACACTGAGCACATACACTGTCCACACACTGAGCACATACACTGTCCACACACTGAGCACATACACTGAGCACATACACTGTCCATACACTGTCCACACACTGAGCACATACACTGTCCACACACTGAGCACATACACTGAGCACATACACTGTCCATACACTGTCCACACACTGAGCTCATACACTGTCCACACACTGTCCATACACTGAGCACATACACTGTCTATACACTGAGCACATACACTGAGCACATACACTGTCTATACACTGAGCACATACACTGTCTATACACTGTCCACACACTGAGCACATACACTGTCCACACACTGAGCACATACACTGAGCACATACACTGTCTATACACTGAGCACATACACTGTCTATACACTGAGCACATACACTGTCTATACACTGAGCACATACACTGTCCACACACTGAGCACATACACTGTCCACACACTGAGCACATACACTGAGCACATACACTGTCCATACACTGTCCACACACTGAGCACATACACTGTCCACACACTGAGCTCATACACTGTCCACACACTGTCCATACACTGAGCACATACACTGTCTATACACTGAGCACATACACTGAGCACATACACTATCCGTACACTGAGCTCATACACTGTCCATACACTGAGGGGTGAGGTAGTGGCGGAGTCGGGCGATGTTACAGGGGTGAGGGAAGGCAGAGCGGGTCATGACTTGGGAGAAAAGACAGTTGAGGGTTGAACAAGACACCTCGGTTCCTGACTGGTTTGGTGAGTTGTATTGTGCAACCATTGAGGTTGATGTTGCCAGAGCCTGAGGTGCTGAGGCGCCGGCGCGAGCCAATCAGGAGGGCCTCAGTCTTGTTCACATACAACTGTAGGAAATTTGCCCTCATCCAGGACTTGGTGTCCGACAGGTGGTCTGTCAGGACAGCAGTGGTCCTGGAGTTGAGGGTGGAGGCAGGAAGATAGAGTTGGGTGTCATCCGCCTCCATATGGAAGTTGACCCCATGTCTGCGGATGATATTAGCAAGGGGGGAGCATGTAGATATTAAAGAGGAGAGGGCCAAGGACAGAGCCCTGGGGGACACCAGACGTGACAGTGCGGGGGCTGGAGGAGAAACCGTTAGAGGCAACAAAGTGGAGACGGTGAGAGAGATAGGAATCGAACCAGGCAAGGGCAGGTCCGTGAAGATTAAGTAAAGAGGAGAGGCGGTGTATGACGATGGAGTGGTCGACAGTGTCGAAGGCAGCAGAGAGGTCGAGGAGGACAAGGAGGCAGAGGGAGCCCTGATCACAGATGTTCAGAATGTCATTAGTGACTTTGACCAGGGGGGTGGCCACGGTCATGAGGGGAGGAGGAGGGCGAAGTTAAGGGAAGAGAGGAGGGAGGAGAAGTCGGCAGAGGTAGAGCAGGAGGGGGTGAAGTGGAGGTTGAAGTCGCCTAGGATTAGGAGGCATTCAGAGCAGAGGGAACAAAGGAGAGTGGAGATGACCGAGAGGAAGGTGGGGGAAGGCTTTGGGGTGAAATGGAACAATGTAAATCAATTATACATCATTATCTTTATGCAACAATGTACTTTGTATAAGTGTATTACTTACTGAACTCCATTCTTCTGCAACAATGTACTTGAGATTGTGAAGGGCACTATTAGCAAGTTGTTGTTAACTTCAAACTATACTTAACACTGTTCTATCATGCATGTAACCGTTGCAGTATTCACGACTGGTTTAGTTTCTCACAACCATCCTCCAGGTTTGGGAAAATTTTGTAACCCCTATGACAAGCACCTGCAAAACAACAAGAGCCTGGCAGTCTCTCGATTTTGCTTCTGTGAAATGTGGTGGATCTACTTTCAATTCAAGTTGCCTGCATGCCCGTGAATAGGAATTTGAAAGAGCTAACACGTCTGCCCTTTTTGGATACCCAAATCCATCTTTTCTTTATATTGCTTGATCAATTCTCTCCAGAAATGCAGCCAACCGCCACGAGTACATTATTATATTTATTTCAGTCGCCTTCTTCGGCAATTTTTTGCTGAAGTCACTGGGCATATTTTTTTCAAAGAAATGTCATTTTTATTTAATCAACAAATTCTTCCTTTTTCTCTGGAGTGCTCTTCCTCCATAGATCCTCATCTTGAAATTGAGGCCTCCTATTGCTTTCTCTAATTCATTCTTTTGCAAGACCTCAAAATTGTTGAGCTTTCTACAGAGTATTTAAAACGAAAGTTTGGTGTCAGCCAGCTGCTATTTCTATTTTAAGCCTCATTGTTATTCTGCACTATTTGCATTGCCTACTTCTGATTTACTCACAAGTTTTGTATGACTACTTTTTGCACATAATAATGAACATTTTCAATTCTGATCAATTGTACTTTAAAAAAGAAAACTAAGTTTAATTAAATTAATTGGAATATTTTTTACAAGGGTTCTGAGATGCTACCCTAAGTGAAGGGCGCTATATAAAATGTAAGTTGTTGTTGTAATTACTCCTACCCACCCCCCTCCCCCAATCCCCAATTGCTCTTCTGTGTGGACCTTACATTCTAGGTCTGGTTCATTTGCAAAAGATTGGATTAAAAATAGGTCAAGGTATATGCAATGCTCACCATTTCAAGGAACCTTGAAGGTTGAGGTGAGAGGAGAGACAGTGGAGGAGGATGGAGTATTCCACAGTATTGAAGGCAGCAGGGAGGAAGAGGAGGCAGAGGGAGCCCTTGTCACAGATAGACAGGATGTTGTTGCCACCTTGATCAGAGCAGTACGGAAACAAGATTGGAGAGGCTCGTGAAGGGAGTGGTAGGAGACAAAAGAGCGAAGCTGGGAAGCAATGACTCTTTCAAGGACCTTGGAAAGAAAAGGGAGTTTGGAGATTGGCAGGTAATTAGAAATCAGGGATGGGTCTGGGGAGGATTCTTTTCAGGAAAGGGGTAATTATAACTGTTTTTAGGGGGATGGGAACAGTACCGGATGATAAGGAGAGATTGATGGTATTGGAGAGTAGAGGGGTGAGGAAGGGGAGCTGGGAGGTAAGGAGAGGGCTGGGGATGGTGTCAAGCTAGCAGGTAGTTTGTTTAATGCTGGTTATGGTGATGAGAGAGGAGGGGAAGACAGGTTCAAGAATTTGTGGAGGGAGGGATGGATAGGGGTCGGAGTGTGGTGGGGGAAGGGAGTGGCAGTTGGGAGGGTGGAGGCAGTGAACAGATCCCCTCGATTTTAGACTCGAGGAAATCCAGCATCTCCTCACAGTCAGAGCCTGAGGAGAGAATGGGCGAGACGTGGGAGGATGGGTGGAGGAGTCGGTTGGTGGTGGAGAACAGGAGCCTGGGGTTTGCTTTCGCCTCCAAGATTATTTTGGAGTAGGAGGCCTGTTTGGCAGAGGCAAGGGTGGAGCGGTACGTTTTGATGTGATACAGCCAGATCTGCTGGTGGACTGTTAGATCAGATTTGAGCCAGGTGCATTCGGCGGCCCATACCTGACCCTTGAGGGAGCAGAGGTGGCTATTGTAGCAAGGTGAGGTTTATGAGTAGAAGACGATTCGGGAGCTGAGGGGGGCAAGGACGGTGGTGGCGAGGGAGTTGTGGAGGAGATTGAGCGAGGAGGGTAAATCAGTGCGGGGGGTAGGCCAGAGGGGGAGGAGTTCAGATGACTCCAGAGCAGTGGAGAGGGATTGCAGGGAGATTTTTTTCTAGGAGCTGGAGGTTTGTTTGGTGGTAGTTGGGAAAGTGATTGAGGAGTTGAAGGAGATGAAATGGTGATCGGGGATGGCTTTGCCTGTGATCGTGATATCCGAGACACTGAGGCCCCGGGTAATCACCAGGTCGAGTGGGTAGCCATGAACGTGGGTGGCAGGAGAGATTGTGAAAGGAAAAGAGAGAGAAGTCCGAGGAGATGGAGCAGGAGGGGGTGAAGTGAAGTTGCCGAGGATGAGGAGGCATTCAGAACAGAGGCAGAGAGAAGCTAGGAGGGTGGAGACATCAGAAATGAAGGTGGGGGAGGTTTTGGGTGGGTGGTAAATGAGAATTTGGAGGGAAAGATTGGAGGAATGGTGAAGTGAAAGGTGCTCAAATGAGGGGAATGAGCCAGAGGTGTAGGGGGATAGAGCAAGTGAGGCCCTGGAGACTAGGGCCACACCACCACCACAGCAGTTGGGACGTGGGATATGGTGGGAGGTAGAGCCAGGTGGTGTGGCCTCAGTGAAGGGAAGGTGTTGCCTGGGGTAATCCAGGTTTCAGTGAGGGCCATGATGTCGATATTTTCATCAATGATGAGATCATTAATGGTCAGAGACTTGTTGCAGATGGAGCGGACATTTTGTAGGCCGGTGTGGAGAGGACCGTTGCCGGGGGAATGTGTGAGACGGGAAGGGGTAATGGAGTGATAGGCAGGGAGGACGGGAACCAGGATGAGGGAGGAGAGGTTGGCCCCCGGGGTCTGGGTCCAGCAGGTCTTGCAGTGATGGTGGGGAATGGGGCAATCAATGTGCCTGACTTTAAAACAAATGAAAGGCTATATTGTCATAATAATCTTGATCAGCTGTATTGGATCTAGAATTCAGCTGTTTTTGAGTATGTGGTTTTGGCTAAGGTTTGTTCTTACAAGTTGTTAATATGATTAACTGTAGTTTTAGTTTTTGTTATGCTCCATATGAGATTAATAGCTTGCCCAATCTACTGCCAAAATAAAGTTGCATGAAGCCTGAGATGGTTTGGCAGATTCTCCATCTTTCTCCCTGCATTATGTGTTCTTTAGTACGGTCAGCACCAGTTTATTTTAGAAATGATCATTGTCATTAGTTTGGTTGCATACACTGTTAAGAGAAATCCTGACAATACAATAAGCATCTGCTTTACTATTCTGGGCAACGAAAGGTATCGGTATATGTAAAGTACATTCCTGTTGCTTGTAACAAACTACACGTGGTGCATTCTCAATTTTCCACTGTGCCATCTGGTTTTGGATGGTTTGGCGTTTGTTGTGGAGTCCTGTAGCTCAGTGGTTAGAGCACTCGCTTTGCAAATGAGAGACCTGAGTTCAATTCCAGGCAGAGGGCGAAACCTTGGGCAAGTTTCCTTACTCCACACAGAGCCTAATAATAATCCCTCCAAAACAAAAAAACAATAATAAATTGGTCATTTTCAATCTACGACTGTTTGTGGGACATTGCTGTGCGCAATTGCCTGCCGTGTTCGCCCACAAATATACAGTCAATTCACTTTACAGTGTGTTCTGTGAAGCGATTTGGGACGTCCTCCGACATGAAAAGCGCTATATCAAATGCAAGGATTATTATTATTATTATTTCAATCAAGTGATTAGACTATGAACACCAAAAAGGTAATGTCACTATTTAACAAATGTTCTCAGATTGTCTTAAAGTGTCTGAACATGAAGGTCTTGAGCAACACACTATTCTGCCATTGAGCCTCCTCTTTCCATAATTCTTTTAGAACTATTGGACATACTTTTCTCTCTTTCTTCTCTCTGATCTCTTTAAAAAACAGAGGAAATGAGAGCACCTTCGAGCGGGGATCAATCGGTTGGAGACCCCTAGTCTAAGATGGCACTCCAATGCAGTGCTGAGGAGGTGTTGCATTGCTGGAGGTGTTGTCCTTCAGATGCAACGTTAACTGAGGCACTGGTGGAAGTTAAAGATCCAATGGAGCTATTCGAAAAGAGAAGGGAGTTTCTCCCGGTGTCCTGGCCAACAATCCTACCAAATAAAATTGGTCACTCACTCCATGGCTGTTTGTGAGTCATTGCTGTGCGCAAAATTGGTCGCCGCATTCTCCTACAAACACTCCACTTCACAGTTGAATTTGGGAAGTCCTCCCAACGTGAAATACCAAATGCAATAATTATTATAATAAACTACAATGTTTTTTTGAGAAGATTTAATGTAAAAAAACTAATTTAATACATCTACCATAATCCTCATTATCTCTGATAGTTTTATCTAATTTATCCTTTAGACAGGTTGGAAACAAACACATTATGTGCAGCAATGCTGTTTAAGATGCAGGAAGTAGCTTACATGTAAGGTGGAGGATGCTACATAGGATACAGGAAGCAGCAACTTGTGTGGTATGGGGTACTATGTAGGAAGTAGTAGCTTATGCATGTCAGGTTGAAACTCTGAAAAGGATAGATAGTTTTGTAGCTGTTTATGCATTAAATCTACTTGGGAATAATAATAACAGGATAAGCATAACCTTATCTTTCCCTTACAAATGCTGATAATTTACTGGCATTTTCCATATTTTTTTACAGTGTGCCAGCTTTTAGTTTTGTTGTTTGACTCACTGGTATTTCTCTTCCAAGTGTATCAATCATTAACAGTTCCGTTCCTCTTCTTCGCAAGTTCTGTTTGTTTGATGCTGTTGCTATAATTTCCTTGTTTTATCTTTTTCAAAGCATGTTTACGTAGCAATATTTCTTCCTTCAGTCACTGACTTGTTCTCCAAAATTGTATGCTGACCTTTTTAGTTTGTTTTGTAAAGCACCCTCTGCATTTTGTATTTCATTTTTTAAAAAAAATATTTTTGATGGAAGTTATTTCAAGCAATGATTCTAGTCAGGAAGAGTCTTGAAAACGGATAAAATGCTATAGCTAGCAAGTGACCAACTTTTGACACTGATTTAATTATGGTTTATTTTGCCCTCTTATAGTGGGACCACTTGCAGTAGAATTTTCCCGACCTGTTAATTTGGAGGATGTGATGAAGGCTAATCCAATGGTAAGAGAGGGTGGACACTTTACCCCAGCAGACTGTGTGGCACTTCAGAAAGTTGCCATCCTCATTCCTTTTCGTAATCGTGATGAACACCTGAAATACTGGTTATCTTACTTGCATCCAATTCTGCAACGGCAGCAGCTTGACTATGGAGTATATATTATAAATCAGGTAAGAACTGTCCATAATTAGATAACTTTGAATCAGGAAGTGTTTCAGACTTGTTGTAATAAAATAGGGGATGTAGCTGATGCACTATAAATTGAAAGGTTGTATTCCACTTTTTAACCATTTAATTTCAAGCAACTCGCCGACCAAATCTGGAAATGGAAGTCTGTGACTGTCCCCATAAATGTAGTTGTTTATGGTATATAACTTGCAATACTGAACCCATGGCAATGGATCGGTTTATAAAACTAGTTTGGGTTAAAAGCTTCCGACTTTAAACATATTATAATCTTTATCTTCTAATTTGTATTTAATGTTTTGTTAATGTGAGAACTATAGGTTCTGGCTATTAGTAACGTTTCATTTTGTAGTACTTTTCAAATTTTATTACTACTTATGGTATTTATTACAGCCTTTTTTATTGGAGAGTGAATGCCAATAAAGTTCTCCATAAAATGATCAAGATAAGGAACAGGTGATCTTTTAAACCAGTCAATGTACATAAATCCTGAAAGGTGTAAGGCAAGCTGTCAAAAAGCTGATGGAGTGGATATGAGGCTGGGCAACTTGCCAGTGTTTGGCTTTCATGTGATCTTAGTAATTGGCAGGTAGTTGGATGCCCTGGATACTTGGGGTGATTAATCTAGTTGTGTTATGTGCCACTTCGATACACAACACCAGTTGTGCCTCTGAGTTCTTTCCTTCCTATCCTTTCTTTATGTGCATAGGAAATTTGTATCAGCCTTCTGTAAGGGTGAGAGAAAGTGGCAAGGAGGCTTTACAGAAAACAATACAAGGAAGTCCAGAAAATAGGAGAGCAGAGAGCATGAAAACATATAGATGGTTTTAGTGAAAATAGATGTTTTATAATTACAATAAGAAAGATTAATGAAAGAGGAGATGGTCTCAGTAACACTTGAATTGGACAAGGACAATGTTGAATGAATATTTTGCTTTAATCTCCACAGTGGAAATGAGGGATATGATGCTGTCAGTAGGAGGAACATTCGTGCTGTAGATGGAGTTAAAAAGATAAGGTAGAAAGACTGCAATGGACAAATTAATGAGACTGAAACTTCTGAGTCACCAGACCACAGGGATTAAAAATAAGTGTAAAGAATTTTGGGTAAGAGTTTTAATTCCCTGGATTCTGGAATAATACCAAAGATATTAAATGTCGCACAAACGTGAGGAAGAGAGAATTCAAGTAAGTACAGGCAGAGAGTTTAAAGTCAACAGTAGGAACATTACTTATTACTAGACCCCATCATTAGAGAGTGTGAGGAACTTCATAATCAAGAAGAGCCTGGCAATCAGCATGGTTGTGAGGGTGGCATGTCTAAACAACCTAATAAGAATTCTTTGGCAGAATTTGTAAGGTTGTGGATAGTAGAGACGCAGAGGTTATGTATGTGGATTTTCAGAAGGCATTTAGTAAACTCCGGCACAAGAGGATAATAGTGTGGGCTACATAATTATGCACCTCTTTTATGGTGGTCATTTGTCTGTAATGCAGTATGGCTGTAATGCAGTTTCATTATGGACCTCATTCAGGGAGATACTCTCATACTAAAATTGACAACTTCCAGATCATTAGATTACCACCACCATCACTTCCTACACATTACACATACCAGCACACAGGAAGTGGCATTGGCAGCAATCTGATAACCCATAAATCAGACATTTTTAATGCAGGAACCTGCCAGAGCATAGGGACAAAATATCTGTTTTGTGCTGTTAACATTATGATTCTATAACTTCACTCTACATGAAGTTAGAGAGAACATAAATTTTATATTAGAATTAAACCAGTGAAAGCATACTCAGAAAGCAATCTTTACACAAAGGAACCACATGGAATGAACTGCTGCAGAAGATCAAAGGCATTCAAGCAATAGATTAATCTTTATGTAAACATGTTAAGGGATTATGAAAAAAATTAAAAGAATGTACAGCACGGAAACACACCACTCAGGCCAATCAGTTCTTGCCGGTGCTTATACTCCACACAAGTCTTCACCCACTCCTTACTCCCTCCCATAACCTTCTATTGCCCGCTTCTCATGTGGAGGTCGAGCTTCCTCCTGAATGTATCTACACGATCTGATTCAACCACTGCTTCAGGCAGCAAGGACCGCAAACTCACTACCCGCTGCGTGAATTAGTCCCTCCTAAATTCTCTTTTAGATCCCCAAGTTGCTATCTTCTACTTGCATACTTGCTATCTTATACACTGGTTGGAGAGACCTGGTTACGGTATAGAGGGGCTTGGGTAGGTGGGTCATGAGGGAGAGGTGATGTGGGGGTGGTGGTGGACTGGGCTGAGGTGGCTGAACGTATCCCCTCGATTTTGGATTCGAGGAAGTCCAGCATCTCCTCACAGTTGGAATTTGAGGAGAGGATGGGCTAGGCATGGGAAGGTGGAGGGAGGAGACAGTTTGTGAAACGTAATCTTGTTCTTGTTGTTGTTGTGGTAGCCTCTCGAGACATTTCTGGAATCTGCATCACTGCAAGAGCACAGGGAAGGAATGTTTTTTTTATGTTTCTTGACCTGTTGCTCTCCTGATTGGCTCCCATCAGCGCCTCCTCACCTCAGGGTCTGATAGCATCACCATCCATGGTTGCACATTCCACCTTGCTAAGCCAGTCCGGAACCTTGTTTGACCCTCAACTATCCTTTCTACCCCACATCTGCACCATGACCCACTCTGCCTTCCCCCACCTCTGCAACGTCGCCCAGCTCCTTCACTGTCTCACACCACAGGCTGCCAAGACCCTCATACATGCATTCATAACAACCAGGCTCGACTATGCAAACTCACTGCTTGTCGGCCACCCCAACTCCTCCCTCCACAGGCTGCAGATCATCCAGAACTCTGCAGCTCGTGGCCTCTCCCGCACGAGGCTCCGTGACCTTATCGTGTTTTATAATGCAATTAGTTGCTATCTGATGTACTTCTATTAATAATTGACTTGACTCACAATGCTCAATCAAAACGCAGTTGTAAAGTCTAGTACTTGATTAAAGATTACAAACTATATTTGCACGCCATATAATATCGATTGTTTTTACTTATGCAGCAATTTAAATGCCAGTTGCGACCCACAAACAGTAATCAGATAAATAAGCAGCGCTCCAGAGACCCTGCCCTGAGTGCAAGACACTATATAAATGCAAGTTGTTGTGACCAATTAATATTTTGTTTTTGGTGATCTTTGGCTGAGGAATATTGGGCAGGAAATTAGAACAAATCTCTGTTCTTTAATTCATTACCACAGACATTTTACAATATTTGAACTTTCACAACAAGCACACATGGAATGGGGCTTTAGTTTAATCTGAAGAACAGCCCTGTCTGAGGACTGCACTGGTGTGTTAGCCTAGATTATGAACTCAAATTCTGGTGTGGGGCATGAACCTACAACTTTCCAACCTGAAGGCAAGAATGCTAGTTACTGAGCCAATGTAAATTGTTTGTTTATTATTGAACTGGTGGATAATTATTAATCCATCTGTTATGCATTCAGACTGGTAGGGAACAGAATTCATTTTTGGGACAGCTGTATTTCCCAAGCAGATCTCTAAACCTATAACATTTGTCAAATTGAGAGAAATCCCTACTGGTACTGTTACATGATCTGATCTGGCCTTAATTGGTTTTAAGCTCCTGCCTTGATCGCTTCTATCACATTGCTTCAGGGCTATAGAACTCAAGTGTTACATCCTCCATCGGGGGGGGGGGAGGAGTCGATCCTCCTTGCGGGAGTAAGTGGAGTTTGCTTGGAGCTGAACTGGCTCCAAGGTGACATGGTTGGCAATGGAATGTCGGAATCGAGCCAGATCTCTGTGATGGTCTCTAGTCTGGTTCCTGAGTACCGAAGTATTCCAAAGCACTGCTGATGACAGTGCAGCCAAGCGGGGCTCATCGGCAGGACCTGGAAGGGCAGTTCAGTCACTGGGGCCAGGGAGTCATCTCACTCAGCTCCTGTTAACCCTGCAAGCCAAAGCCCTAAAAGGTTGGGTGGTTCTAGCTGGACAAGCAGCGGGAAAGCTTGCCAGACAGCAATATCAATGGCAAGCTATGCAGTTTTACCTAGTTAGACACCAGCAATCCCCAACCACACTCTGGGGTCCCCAAGCCTTGGCTCTTGCTAACCTGTACCTAATACTTTCCGGAATTGAGTAAGCAGGATGTGTCCCTCCAGGGAGAGAGGGCTTATTCCATTCCAACAATCTATATCTGGGATTTCCATCTATAGGTGGGATGCATGGAAATCTCATCTTGGTTTGGATACTCTTAAGCATGGTGATGGGTGTCCGCATTGTGTCAGACACCTGACTGACCCAAATAAATCCTCCATCACGGTGAGAGTTCATTATCTGAAATTCCTGAAGTATAACTGCTGGATTTTGTTGATAATGAAAGGCTAACAGTAATGCAACTAACCCTCTTCCACAATGAACCACAAGGCCTTTATCTCCCTCAAATCAATCAAGAAGCAGCCAGCCTTGAAACAAACCTTATTGAGTTGATTGTATTTGCAGGCTTAACTGTGATGTTTCCCTCTGTTGACAGAGGCATCCCTCACTGGATGGTTGACCTGTCTTCAGGCATCAGAGTGTTTATCATCCTAACTCCAAAGGTGCTGCATATAAGCCTTAGTTTTTAACAATTAGGCTGGCCAATAGAATATCGTGCCCGCAATTTTTTGTGGAGTCTGCAAAAACAAATGCGTCGCACCCAACAACCCCCCCCTCCCACCACCCCCCCTCGTCCGGCTCCACTAGTTCCCCATCTCTCTGTAGGATAGATGTCAAAACCCTTGTCCTAGCCTTCAAAGTCCCCCACATCCTTGCTCCTCCCAACCTCTGTGACCTGCTGACCAACATCAACCTGTCCGCTCACATTGGACTCCGGCCTGCTCCATGTCTCCCTTTCTAACATTCACTGAAGTCCATTTTTGGTGGTTCATCCTGGACATACAAATGGGAATTTCAT